CTTTTTTTAAATTCTCTTTTTTTCTTGTTTCTCTTTGTATTTCGTTGCTCTCTTTTGTCGCTCTCATTTTTCCCATTTTCTGCCTCCACTTTCCACCGCTCAAATGGCAGAAAACCGTTAAATTCAAATCTGAGATACCAGGCGCACAGAAATCAGCAGAAGGTCGCTGCTTTTTTTAAATTCTCTTTTTTTCTTGTTTCTCTTTGTATTTCGTTGCTCTCTTTTTTCGCTCTCATTTTTCCCATATTCTGCTTCCACTTTCCACCGCTCAAATGGCAGAAAACCGTTAAATTCAAATCTGAGATACCAGGCGCACAGAAATCAGCAAAAGGTCGCTGCTTTTTTTAAATTCTCTTTTTTTCTTGTTTCTCTTTGTATTTCGTTGCTCTCTTTTGTCGCTCTCATTTTTCCCATTTTCTGCCTCCACTTTCCACCGCTCAAATGGCAGAAAACCGTTAAATTCAAATCTGAGATACCAGGCGCACAGAAATCAGCAGAAGGTCGCTGCTTTTTTTAAATTCTCTTTTTTTCTTGTTTCTCTTTGTATTTCGTTGCTCTCTTTTTTCGCTCTCATTTTTCCCATATTATGCTTCCACTTTCCACCGCTCAAATGGCAGAAAACCGTTAAATTCAAATCTGAGATACCAGGCGCACAGAAATCAGCAGAAGGTCGCTGCTTTTTTTAAATTCTCTTTTTTTCTTGTTTCTCTTTGTATTTCGTTGCTCTCTTTTTTCGCTCTCATTTTTCCCATATTATGCTTCCACTTTCCACCGCTCAAATGGCAGAAAACCGTTAAATTCAAATCTGAGATACCAGGCGCACAGAAATCAGCAGAAGGTCGCTGCTTTTTTTAAATTCTCTTTTTTTCTTGTTTCTCTTTGTATTTCGTTGCTCTCTTTTTTCGCTCTCATTTTTCCCATTTTCTGCCTCCACTTTCCACCGCTCAAATGGCAGAAAACCGTTAAATTCAAATCTGAGATACCAGGCGCACAGAAATCAGCAGAAGGTCGCTGCTTTTTTTAAATTCTCTTTTTTTCTTGTTTCTCTTTGTATTTCGTTGCTCTCTTTTTTCGCTCTCATTTTTCCCATTTTCTGCCTCCACTTTCCACCGCTTAAACGGCAGAAAACCGTTAAATTCAAATCTGAGACACCAGGCGCACAGAAATCAGCAGAAGGTCGCTGCTTTTTTTAAATTCTCTTTTTTCTTGTTTCTCTTTGTATTTCGTTGCTCTCTTTTTTCGCTCTCATTTTTTCCCATTTTCTGCCTCCACTTTCCACCGCTCAAATGGCAGAAAACCGTTAAATTCAAATCTGAGATACCAGGCGCACAGAAATCAGCAGAAGGTCGCTGCTTTTTTTAAATTCTCTTTTTTTCTTGTTTCTCTTTGTATTTCGTTGCTCTCTTTTTTCGCTCTCATTTTTCCCATTTTCTGCCTCCACTTTCCACCGCTCAAATGGCAGAAAACCGTTAAATTCAAATCTGAGATACCAGGCGCACAGAAATCAGCAGAAGGTCGCTGCTTTTTTTAATTCTCTTTTTTTCTTGTTTCTCTTTGTATTTCGTTGCTCTCTTTTTTCGCTCTCATTTTTCCCATATTCTGCTTCCACTTTCCACCGCTCAAATGGCAGAAAACCGTTAAATTCAAATCTGAGATACCAGGCGCACAGAAATCAGCAGAAGGTCGCTGCTTTTTTTAATTCTCTTTTTTTCTTGTTTCTCTTTGTATTTCGTTGCTCTCTTTTTTCGCTCTCATTTTTCCCATTTTCTGCCTCCACTTTCCACCGCTCAAATGGCAGAAAACCGTTAAATTCAAATCTGAGATACCAGGCGCACAGAAATCAGCAGAAGGTCGCTGCTTTTTTTAAATTCTCTTTTTTTCTTGTTTCTCTTTGTATTTCGTTGCTCTCTTTTTTCGCTCTCATTTTTCCCATTTTCTGCCTCCACTTTCCACCGCTCAAATGGCAGAAAACCGTTAAATTCAAATCTGAGATACCAGGCGCACAGAAATCAGAAGAAGGTCGCTGCTTTTTTTAAATTCTCTTTTTTTCTTGTTTCTCTTTGTATTTCGTTGCTCTCTTTTTTCGCTCTCATTTTTCCCATTTTCTGCCTCCACTTTCCACCGCTCAAATGGCAGAAAACCGTTAAATTCAAATCTGAGATACCAGGCGCACAGAAATCAGCAGAAGGTCGCTGCTTTTTTTAAATTCTCTTTTTTTCTTGTTTCTCTTTGTATTTCGTTGCTCTCTTTTTTCGCTCTCTTTTTCCCATTTTCTGCCTCCACTTTCCACCGCCCAAATGGCAGAAAACCGTTAAATTCAAATCTGAGATACCAGGCGCACAGAAATCAGCAGAAGGTCGCTGCTTTTTTATTTTAAATTATCTTTTTTTCTTGTTTCTCTTTGTATTTCGTTGCTCTCTTTTTTCGCTCTCATTTTTCCCCATTTTCTGCCTCCACTTCCACCCGCTCAAATGGCCGAAAACCGTTAAATTCAAATCTGAGATACCAGGCGCAAAGAAATCAGCAGAAGGTCGCTGCTTTTTTTAAATTCTCTTTTTTTCTTGTTTCTCTTTGTATTTCGTTGCTCTCTTTTTTCGCTCTCATTTTTCCCATTTTCCGCCTCCACCTTCCACCGCTCAAATGGAAGAAAACCGTTCAATTCAAATCTGAGATACCAGGCGCACAGAAATCAGCAGAAGGTCGCTTCTTTTTTTAAATTCTCTTTTTTTCTTGTTTCTCTTTGTATTTCGTTGCTCTCTTTTTTCGCTCTCATTTTTCCCATTTTCTGCCTCCACCTTCCACCGCCCAAATGGCGAAAACCGTTAAATTCAAATCTGAGATACCAGGCGCACAGAAATCAGCAGAAGGTCGCTGCTTTTTTTAAATTCTCTTTTTTTTCTTGTTTCTCTTTGTATTTCATTGCTCTCTTTTTTCGCTCTCATTTTTCCCATTTTCTGCCTCCACTTTCCACCGCTCAAAAATGGCGAAAAAAGAGAGCAACGAAATACAAAGAGAAACAAGAAAAAAAGAGAATTTAAAAAAAGGCAGCGACCTTTTCTGCTTCTGTGCGCCTTTCAGATTTGAATTTAACGGGGTTTCTGCCATTTGAGCGGTGGAAAGTGGAGGCAGAAAATGGGAAAAATGAGAGCGAAAAAAGAGAGCAACGAAATACAAAGAGAAACAAGAAAAAAAGAGAATTTAAAAAAAGCAGCGACCTTCTGCTGATTTCTGTGCGCCTGGTTCAGATTTGAATTTAACGGTTTTCTGCCATTTAGCGGTGGAAAGTGAAGGCAGAAAACGGGAAAATGAGAGCGAAAAAAGAGAGCAACGAAATACAAAGAGAAACAAGAAAAAAAGAGAATTTAAAAGCAGCGACCTTCTTCTGATTTCTGTGCGCCTGGTATCTCAGATTTGAATTTAACGGTTTTCTGCCATTTGAGCAGTGGAAAGTGGAGGCAGAAAATGGGAAAAATGAGAGCGAAAAAAGAGAGCAACGAAATACAAAGAGAAACAAGAAAAAAAGAGAATTTAAAAAAAGCAGCGACCTTCTGCTGATTTCTGTGCGCCTGGTATCATTTGAATTTAACGGTTTTCTGCCATTTGAGCGGTGGAAAGTGGAGGCAGAAAATGGAAAAATGAGAGCGAAAAAAGAGAGCAACGAAATACAAAGAGAAAACAAGAAAAAAGAGAATTTAAAAAAAGCAGCGACCTTCTGCTGATTTCTGTGCGCCTGGTATCTCAGATTTGAATTTAACGGTTTTCTGCCATTTGAGCGGTGGAAAGTGGAAGCAGAATATGGGAAAAATGAGAGCGAAAAAAGAGAGCAACGAAATACAAAGAGAAACAAGAAAAAAAGAGAATTTAAAAAAAGCAGCGACCTTCTGCTCATTTCTGTGCGCCTGGTATCTCAGATTTGAATTTAACGGTTTTCTGCCATTTGAGCGGTGGAAAGTGGAGGCAGAAAATGGGAAAAATGAGAGCGAAAAAAGAGAGCAACGAAATACAAAGAGAAACAAGAAATAAAGAGAATTTAAAAAAAGCAGCGACCTTTTGCTGATTTCTGTGCGCCTGGTAACTCAGATTTGAATTCAACGGTTTTCTGCCATTTGAGCGGTGGAAAGTGGAGGCAGAAAATGGGAAAAATGAGAGCGAAAAAAGAGAGCAACGAAATACAAAGAGAAACAAGAAAAAAAGAGAATTTAAAAAAAGCAGCGACCTTCTTCTGATTTCTGTGCGCCTGGTATCTCAGATTTGAATTTAACGGTTTTCTGCCATTTGAGCGGTGGAAAGTGGAGGCAGAAAATGGGAAAAATGAGAGCGAAAAAAGAGAGCAACGAAATACAAAGAGAAACAAGAAAAAAAGAGAATTTAAAAAAAGCAGCGACCTTCTGCTGATTTCTGTGCGCCTGGTATCTCAGATTTGAATTTAACGGTTTTCTGCCATTTGAGCGGTGGAAAGTGGAGGCAGAAAATGGGAAAAATGAGAGCGAAAAAAGAGAGCAACGAAATACAAAGAGAAACAAGAAAAAAAGAGAATTTAAAAAAAGCAGCGATCTTCTGCTGATTTCTGTGCGCCTGGTATCTCAGATTTGAATTTAACGGTTTTCTGCCATTTGAGCGGTGGAAAGTGGAGGCAGAAAATGGGAAAAATGAGAGCGAAAAAAGAGAGCAACGAAATACAAAGAGAAACAAGAAAAAAAGAGAATTAAAAAAAGCAGCGACCTTCTGCTGATTTCTGTGCGCCTGGTATCTCAGATTTGAATTCAACGGTTTTCTGCCATTTGAGCGGTGGAAAGTGGAGGCAGAAAATGGGAAAAATGAGAGCGAAAAAGAGAGCAACGAAATCAAAGAGAAACAAGAAAAAAGAAATTTAAAAAAAGCAGAGACCTTCTGCTGATTTCTCTTCGCCTGGTATCTCAGATTTAAATTTAACCGTTTAATGGCCGATTGGAGGTCTGAGATCGAAATTTAATTTTTCCCAATTGGTATTTTGTTGTAGACCGAAAAAATTGATTTCAATTTGTCTTTGTTGGCTTATAAAAACTCGACCTTAACGTGACATCTAATAAAAACGAATCAGCCATAAAATAACATTGTTAAACTTTCTCTTGTGTTTGCTCTTTTTTATTTGATCTTTACTCCGCATCATCGCCCTCGTCATTGTTTGAGCCTATTCTGAAGTAGCGCAGCTCGTACGAGTCCTTCTCATTGGCCACAACGCGGATCCAGTCGCGCAGGCTGTTCTTCTTCAAGTACCGCTTGGTCAGGTACTTGAGGTAGGCCTTGGAGAGGTGCACATCGGAGCTGACGTGCAACTTCAACTTGGAGCGCTCAAAGGTGACATTGTTGTCTAGATTCTTAACCTTGCCGTTGACCTTTAGGCGAGCTTTAACGTATTTCTCAAACTCGGCCACATCCAGGATGCTGTCCTCAGCGATGTTGCTGCAGTCGATGGTGAAGCGCAAGGAGATCTTTTTCTTCTTATGGCCCTTGCCGCGGAGCAAATTCTTCTTCGTCACCTTGCCGCGAGCCGGTGCTGACTTTTCCTTGGGCTTGGGAGCAGCAGACTTGGCAGCAGCCGGAGCGGCAGCAGCAGCAGGGGCGGCCTTCTTAGCTGGGGGAGTAGCTACGGGTGGCTTCTTGGCGGCCTCTTTAGCAGGATCTGCCTTGGCAGCAGAAGCTGTGGCCTTCACATCCTCAGCGGTCTCCGGTGCCTTCTTCACGTTCTTGGCGTCAGCGGGAACGGGCTTGGCTGCCTTAGCCTTGGCGGCGGAAGGAGCGGTGGCTATCATTGTTTTATTTAGGTTTTAGATGTCTAATTAACATATTTCAATTATTTTTTCCAATAAATTTGTAAAATTTGTATGCCGCTGTCTTTTTTGTTTTGGTATTCAGTGCTGAAAAACAAACAAGTAATGGATATGTTACAAAAGCTAGCTGCCATGAAACGTGGTGGTATCGATAAAATTCAAACAAATGGCGCCAAGGAACGGCCATTTGAACAAATAATTTTTAATGCATTTTACCCTCGCTTTTAGGCCACAAAATATTATTGAATACTAGCACCCAAAAAAATTTAGAACTAATGGACAGACGGACGTGTCTATATCGAATCGGCTATTAATGCTGATGAGCAATATATATACATTATTTACCTTAAAGGGTATGAAATAACTGCAATATTTATTCACTTTTTAATATTATTTACTACCGTAGAAAAATGTTTTAGTCTGTTAAGAGTTTTTAAATGTATTAGTCACACCTCTAAAAATGAATTTGAAATGCTAAATGGCTCGCTATTAAAGTATTGTCAGTATAACCAAAAGTCTCCCATGCTATGGTTCTCAAATGTATTTTTGTTGCAACTCTGATGCTGACTCTAGTAAATTGTGGCTTCATCAAGTGGGACTCTCCCATTACACGTATAAACTAATAAGTTTTCTGAGCTGGCATTGTCACTGGGAATATGTTATTTTTATTGTAGTTTGCCATGTTCTGGGACGATGCCAAAACGCTGAAGACTATTGCTATGGCCGCCTACTGGAAGATAAAGTTTGCGGAACATCACAGCGTTGCTGCTTGAAGAAATTCGTACCAAAAGCAAAACCAATTTATTCAATTTAGTAGCCACGATATAAATAAAATTACCGCTCTATAAAATCCTATTCGTCATAGGATAAGATTTTGTTCGTTGGTTGGAAATAGTTACAAACTGAAAATAGTTTACCTTCTATCCAGATTTCTTGGTTTAGAAATTAAACCGAGGAGAATTGTATGAAGTGAAACATTATTATATCGATCGGTCACGATCAGAATGAAATATATATTTGGCACCTGCATAAATTAATTGATTGGAAACGGCATATGGTACAATATTTTTGGTACGAGTACATTTAAAAGATAAATTTTAATATGGAAAAGGGAGTTTATTCGAGGCGAGTCAGAGCAGTGGATAGGAAGAAAATGATACTGAAATATTTCGTGTATTTAGCCCTGACCTTTACATTGGTGTATTCTGCTTATAATCCAAAGAAACATATTTCTCGTGCAAAAGTGATTAAAGCAACGCTAACGGGTAATCTGCCAATAAAATGGATATCATGGGCATATTATAAATTATTATACATATCTAATAGGTCCTTGCCAAGTTGGAGACAAAGGAAGGTGTAAGAATATCTACGGAAAATGTAGGGGAACTAAGTATCAAGTTGCAGAATGTGAATTGCCATCAGTTTGCTGTGTCAGGGCGAGAGCTCAATTTAAGAGAATTGAGGGCTTAGATTCTAGCTATTTTGAATGATTTTGATGCTGATTCAATAAAGATGAGCTGAGCTATTGGTTCTGTTGTCTAAAAATAAAATACATACAATTCAGTTCCAGTTTTTGCTTACGTACTGAATTTATCCACTGCCAAGGCTTACAGAAACTTCAGTATGGAAAAGTTATCTGAATAATCATGACATTATAAACAGAAAGAAAACTTGAGCATGGAAAAGTTATCTGAATAATCATTGACTTTATAAAACAAACCCTTTTTTCCCTTCTGCTCGGAATGGTAAGCTAGCTACAATGCATTGTGATGGAATCTACCCCATTTTCGAGCTTAGAACACATCCAATATTATCTCTTGCCGTGCACTAGCCGCTTTGGCTATTTTTTGCATTTTTAATTACTCAGCAGCTTCATTGCAGTTTCCCCATGTATTCGTTTTCGCGTATTCGCGTTGGTATTGGCTTTGGTATTAGTTTTCATTTCACCCGTTGTCGAATCTGCTAAACAGAAAGTTTGTCTTATGCGCCTTCCGCTGCATAATTTGCGTGTTGCTGTGCACTTTTTTTTGTTTGGCTTCTTTTTGGGGAGATGGATTGGCCGGGTGGAGGAGGCATTTGTTGCTATGCCCCACACACATTTCCGCCATATAAAATATGCAAAACAATGCAAAAACTCTCGCCTGGGCAGCAGAGCAACAACGAAATATAAACTTTCCCTGCTCTGGCCCAAAAATTAATTTTTGTTTCAGATGGCGCACAGATTTTTCGGCTGCATTTTTGGCCGTGCTGCTAATGTTGTGGCAACAGCAGCGGGCACCGTCTACCATCCACCATCCAGCGACCACCAACCAACGACCACTGTCCGTACTTTTTGTTTTAATTAACTTTTTTGTTTGTTGTTTTGTTGCCAAAGTTTTGCAGCGCTGTGCAAATTGTGCTAATTTTGAAATGGCGTGCAATGCAATGTTCGTATATACATTTTGCATGCCTAGAAATTGCGACGGGAATCGCTGCGAGGATAATGATCTATGGCGAGAAAGCTGAGGGACAATTTCCCAATCGAAATAGAGGTTTTTAGCAGATTCACTACCCTAAGAAAAGCCACAGACTTCTGTCTCCATAATTTATTTGGCCTTGTGATTGGCGAGTGCTGTGCCAGTCCCTGGCCATGTGAGATGCAATGAGAATATGTAATACATTTTGCTCGGCGACTTTGATTTGTTGCATTAATTATTCAATTTATTTAGGACAATAAATTCGCATTAAGTTGTAAACAAATTTGCACTCGGTGGAACATCGATATGGCCATCGATATGGTAATGTCGGAGTGTGTATGGCTGGAAATAAACGATCTGAATTGAAGTTAATAAATGGCGCTTACAGCACGACAGTGGGCATTGTCCTCACTAATTTGTGTCCATTTTGCTGCCTCGACCACAGCAAGAAAGAGTTGTCGGTCCTTTTGGGCTGATTGAATAGCTCCAAGTGGTCTCGAGCCGGGCCCAGGCTGGTAGCAGAAATATAAATGACTGCTTCCCTCTCGCAGCTGTCAACACATGGACATGGGCGAATCCTTCTGTCCGGCACTTGGACGCTTACTTTATTTCTGGCAATTTTTCAATGCGCTTTGCTTGCCCAGGACCAGGCCCAAGGCACTGGGACTGCCGTCAGCCGGCAGGCATCAGACACCCAGGCCTCGGCATCAGGCCATGGCAATCATTGGCAATGGCTGCTTTGTAGCAGGCCTCCATTCAGTCCTCGACCACAGGCTGTGATGTGCCTTTTGCTGTCTTGCACTTACTTATCCAGCTGCCTGGCATCCTTTCTCCCTTTGGCTGGGTGGGGGGGCTCAGGCTCAGTGCCGTTTGATTTACTTCATACAATTGGCAACATCATACATCAACGCGTTTTTTGTTTTTGTTTCGGTTTTGGTAAGTAAATCTCTCCTTGGATTCCCTCCACTCGTTTTCGTTTCTTGTTAAATTTGTGCAGATTTTGCCTGCTCCCTAGATTTATGTCCGATTGGGCTTTGTCAATATTTTGTACTCTCGTCACCTTCTTCTTCACATGCAATCATATTTGATTGAAGAGGAAAGAATATCTCGAGAGGCAGCATACATATCACTTGGACTTCGATCAGACTGGTTGTAGGGAGTTTTCTGCAGTTCTCTTAGTCTCCCAGGCGTTGTTCATTCGAGTCCCCCCATTCAGGAATGGTGGGCGCAACCTATGAAATATTTATGCAGTAATGACACAACATATTAAACTCAAACAAAATGAATGAAATAAATGAATTTAATTGGCTCACGCAGAATACGGCAAAACTAATCCATTTTAATTAAAGTAAATACAATTTAATTTTCAAAGTGATGTCGGTCAGGTCAGAAGGGCACCAAAGAGGATTATGCAATCGGAAAAAAATGCGATTAAAAAAAGGAGAGTAAAATACAATACAGAACCGAAACCGAAACCAAAGGAGAATAATTATGTGCAGACGGGACGGTGATGGGGGGGGGACAGGGTAAAGTTAGATAAACGGATTTAAATTGTGGATGGGCTGTAAAATGCATTATTCATAATTCATAATTATGCACATGGTGAATGTGTAAATAAATAAATAAAATTCAACATTAATTTGTTGACAATTATGAATTTATTAGCTGAACAAAGGCTTTTAGCCAAATCTGCACTGTAGCTTACAAAGCGATTAATTAGCGTTCGGCTGTTCGTTTGGACTGTCAACAAATATTTAACTACTCATTAGGGCCCCTCAAGCCCAAGCGGCATTACGTATACGCCGCATATTACCAGTACATACCACCTGCAACGCATTAGCATTCAGTTTGTGTCCCGATGTCTCGACTCGTCGCGTCTCGTCTCAAGTTAACTCCAGCTTCAGTGTTCCGCAACGTGTGGCCGCAAAAGAAAAAGACGCAAAAACGCACACGGAAAATAGGAAAATTGTGTGTGCTGGGGGAAAACTACTTGTTATTCAGTACGTTGAACTTCGTTTAGACGGGCGAAATGTTTTAGAACTCGTTAGAGCGTCCATGGAGAGGACAGAGATTGAGATGGAGTCCTCTGACAGGCTGCCGCCTCACCAATGCACTCGGTCCCCAGACCCTGGCTAGCCGCAAGCTATTGAATATCACCGCATAATCTATTTAGCATCAACTGTCGCTGAGCTGCCAGATGAGAACTGACGCTAAAGAGTGCTAGCAATTATTTGTCAGCCTACAAGCTGATCGTTACATTCACTACATGTTTATCTGTGTCTGCGTAATCATGTGGAGACATCTAGATGGACAATAACATAATATCTCAGTCGCAACTCTTGGTTGCCTGGCACCAAAAAACAAAAGTATTCCCCTGTCGAAATCAAAGTATTGATAAATTATGTGTTTGTGGGGAGGGCGAGGGCGAACAGCTCTGATGGCTGACTCTGGTCACTTTTTCATACAAAGGATGCTGCGATGGAAACGAAAAGCAGACCGTAAAAAAGTTTTCAAATGAGGACAATGACTACGGTTACCTGTTGTCTGACTTTTTCAGCACACACACAGACACAGACAGAGAGAAAGAGACAGAGAAGGAGAGAAAGATGGACACAAAGGTAGGTAAGAGAGCGCGCGGGTGGCAGGTAGGTGGGGGATTCGTTGATTTGACAAGCTCATTTGACAGCTACTACATGTTAGATATATGTTCGCACTTAATAATTGTCGAGGCGAGCAAAAGTTTTGACAGGAAAACGACAAAACGATGCCAAATTGTGGCACAATTACAATTAATAAACACTGCAAAAGGCATTCAACTAATTTCCGAGCAATTACAACAATCAATCCAATTAACTTAACACAAAGGGAATCCGTCAGCCAGGTGGTCGGAGCGGAGCGGAGCGGAGCAGAGCAGAGCAGACAATAGAAAACCACGAAAGCAATCCAATCCTCTCAGCCGGTTGGTCGATGATGATGAATGATGCATTTCCTTTTGATTTTTTCCTTTCACTGTGTTTTATTTTTGTAATGGCTGCAGACCGAAAGAGGAAAGAATAAAAACTATAAGCCAGCAGAACTGCTTGAATTTTATTGGCGAAATTGATAAAGTGGCTGTAGCAAAATCGAAAGGAATTGTAAATGCAAGGCGATCGATCGATGGACCAAAACAGGGGGACGACTAGCGGAGGTAGGACACGGGCTGGGCAATCAGCGTGCACAAGTACATGGATTTGGGGATTTATTTTCGACATTTTACCTTTTCCCCCCGTTTCGACTTGTGTTTTGCATGCATAAAAATATGGGAAAATGTGCTTGACTGTGGGAGGCAGGGGAGAGCGCCCCATGCCTGCGATTTATATGGAAAATCAATTTTAATTTGTCCGAAGAAAAAAAATACAGAGAAAGTTTTCTGTTGCATTTAAATCAAGAACAATATAGAACGATTTTGCCGATTTAAATATGAAAAGTCTGCTTGTAGCAGAGAATACTATAAGAACAAAAATATAATCAGCTTCAAAAATCATCTTCAGATAAATCGGGATAAAAGAAGCCTTTGAACCTGCAAAATCCCCAACAGAATTCTCTTTTGAGATTTGAAATTTGACCACAGAACCAAAACCATACTCGAGGAAGGGAGAAATCAAAAATCAGGGCGAAAAAGCAACATTGCTTGTCAGGCTTAGGACTCGAGAATGGGATTTTGGACTATCTACTGGTGGACGGGACCCCAGCCCAACCCAACCGGTTGATTCACAATGGAAGGCAGAAATAATCGCATATCAAACATTTAAACAGATTTACTTGGAAAAAGAACTGCACACAGTGGAGTGTATGGAGAGAGAGACAGAGAGAGAGGTATAGAGGAGGATGAGCCCTTCACTTTGCTCGTAAGCCAGTCGTTTAGAGAGGCTGCTGGTGCTGGTGGGGGTCGAGGGGCTGCCACATGTTACGTAACATGCTCAATTTAAAGTGCCTCTGATTTACCAGTGAGAATCACAGTAAGCCTCTCTCCGTGTGTGTGTGTGTTGAACACGTCTCTCTTTGTTTGGACTACAAATAGATGAGGCCACACAAGTGCAGCCTGCATGCATACACGTGTATGGGTGTGTGTTGTAGCTTTATAAAGAGAGGAAAAATATTGTAGCATAATTTTCGGCGCTAACAATACTCGTACGTGCAGCGGGAAAGCAGCAGCAGTAGCTGTGGCTGGGGCTGGGGTAAGGGGTTGGGACACTGGACGAGGACGGGACAGACAGGGGCACATGGCATATATCAGCACATGCATTCATAAATCATGTTCCTGCAGGCAGGAGCAAAGTGCAGGCAGTCAGGAAGCGGCCAGGATCCTCCATCATCCATGTGTTCCTGCGAGAGTGTGCTCCGGCGTATGTTTCTGGGTGTGTGTGTGTGTGTGTGTATGTTTGTGTGTGCTTAGCAGCCGTGTTGGCTATTTTAAGGATATTTATACTGACAGCGGATTTTTGATGGAGAAACTTTTGTAAATTGCTTTCCAGCCACACAAACTCACACAGAAGCAAGAAGCTGTTGGCCAAGGCGCAGCTTTAATTTCTGGCAACTCTCACAATGGCCAACGGCCGGAGGATATACGGCCATGGGTATCCTTTGCCTTTGCACAGTCTACTGTTTGCTTTGGCTCGCCACATTTATTAAATCGACTGCTTCATGCTTTTAATGATGCAGCCACAGCCATACAAAGGAACGCATTATAGACCAGGCTTTTCAGCAAAAAATAATAAATAAAAATAAACGAAATAAAAAAAATAGAACAGAAAAAATTGCTTTTCTTTGGGATTTTATCTCGACCAGACTGCCGTATTCATTGTCGTATTTTGTAGAGGCCAGAAAATCTCCAACTCATTTTCTATATTTTCCTCAGAGCATTATAGCATTTTTCGTTTTGTTTTGGCGAGTTTAATTTAAGTTTAATTTATATCCCTCATTTCGTTTGGCTTTAATCGATTGAACAATCATATTTTATGCCCATTCATGGGTGCCTATAAATTACATTTCAATTAAACAAATTAAAATTCATTGATGGGCGCCATTCCCAGCATTTGGCATTCGTTTAATGCTGGCCTTAAAGTGATTGCCAATATTTCACACTCCAAATATTGCACACACGCTCCATCGACTCGCCTCGATTTGCCATAACCAAAACAATTAGCCAGGTGCCATTGAATTAAAGGCCATTTCCATATCGAGGCCACTTTTTTTGTTGCACCTTTTCTTGGCAAACAAACACTACAAAATCCGGCAACAGAATCCACACAAATGCTTCATTAAATTTGCAACATATTTTTGGATGGGCTTTCCAATGTGTTGTGTGTGTTTGTGTATTTGTTTTTCCACTTTTGTGTACCCAATTAAAATGGAAAATATTGTGATACATTGTGATTATCAAAATGGCCACAATTGTGGCTCCGAAAACAAAGCCAGCACAGACACAAAAACCCACAAAACGATAAATGCTGATGCAAATGATTCGCATACAATAAATCAAAATATATAAATAGCTCTAAATGCTGCCCAAAAATCGGAATCCAATCGAACAAGTTCTGTGGTCGGTTTGCGTGCAAATTGTTAATTTTTTGACATATTCAATTATATTAACAATTTATGAAGCAGTGCGGATCGGATCTCAATTGAGCTCTAAATGATATTCTGGCACATTTTTCTTAGCGCGAAACATCTTGTTCACATATCGAATGGGGAGCGGGTGTCCTCCGGTGTTGAAGACCCACTCGTCCAGTGGCAGCAGCGTGTCATTGGAGAACAGGAGGTACAGATACTTGAGGGTCTCAGCCATGAAGTAGCTTTGTTGCACCCCGTCCCTGGGTCCATCCCGCAGGTACACATTTTCCAGACCCGAGTAGCCGAATTTGGTGCGGCAATGTCGTTCCAGGGCCTCGACCACTTCCCAGCCCCAGTCCCTGTACTTTTGGTCGTGGGTCAGACGCCAGAGTATGAAGTAGGTCTCCACTACCTCGGGGCGCAGGCGAAAGGCTTTCCGGTCGCTGGTCTGGGCGGTGGCGTCTTCCTCTGCCGAGGAGTCGAACTGAAAGGACTCGGGTCCCAGGCCTGTGGGCGAGCGCCGATAGCTCTCATGGCAGGTGTGTGCCAGATCTTTGCCCACCTGAAGGTGCCTTTCAGCCAGCCTAGAGTCGTTGAAGTACGCGGATGCTCCCAGCGCGAACAGTCCGCCGGCAAAGCAGGTCCGATGCTCCATCCGCCGGATCACATGGAAGTTGGCCAGCTCGCCCAGATACGTCAATCCCGCTGAGCTCAGTCCCAATTGATAGACGAGAATGCGGCTGACAGCTGCCTGGTACATGCCGCGGGACTGTGCGAGTGTCTTGCGCGACCGCAGCCAGTTCTTCAGCAAATACTCGTAGAAAATGTCGCCCATGGTGCCCATGGTCATTTTGTATGGCCCCCAGACGGCAGTTTTTGGATTCAGGTAAACGGGATACAAACTGCGCGGCTTCGATATGAGCTCCAGCCTATCCCGGAGCTGGTGCACGCAGTGTCGATACTGGCGAACCCCAGTGATCTCCGTTATGTAGCTGAACTCCAGATGCAGTGAACCAATCTCTGATAAGATGGATTCGTAGACCCCGGATTTTGGCCCAGCCACTCCCCTTTTGGGATTGACCATGGCCTGGGGTATGTCAGAGTCCATTGACGTGAAGGCTGGCAGCAGCTTCTTTACCACATCTTCAGCCTTCGACTGGAACAGCGCATCGCCCGTGAAGGCGTACATCGAGAGGAGACCGCCAACGAAGTGAACGTTCAACTCGGACACGGACAGATACTCGTCCACATGGTCCAGGCTGAAGTTCTCCCGCACCCAACTATAGCCTCGATTGTACTCCTCCTGCAGGTCCATTATATACAGTGTGTCCAGACTGTCCACGATGCTCAGTCCAATCTTGTGCTGGCCCATGATGCTGTCGTTGTGGGGTGCTCCCCTCATTGAGTTCAGCTCGTTGTGCTCCCACGCATGCTGCGCGTATCCATCCCAGGCGAACTTCATCATCTCCTTCACCTTCTCCCGCTGTGACTGTACCCTTGCATCAGCATGGCCGGCAAAGCCAAACGCATTTGAGGCTGCAACAAAAGCACAACGTCTGTCTGATGGATTGATACTTGTGATCTATTGAACTAACCTGAAGATGGACATCTCTGGAGGAGGCCGAAGAGAACGAAGAGAGCCGCCAACTTAAGGAACATTCCACAATAGCTGGCAATGCCAAACTAAGCAACGGCTTGTAGAAAAGTCTGAAACGAGAGGAAAAAATCTATTAGATAAATACTAATATACGTGACGAATGAATTAAGTTGATTAGCGAAAGGCAGTACAAAGGCAAGGCTAACATTTAATTACATTATGGAAAGCTCTGGTCCCACTGTGCGATGCATAAGGTTGTTCTACTTAAAACACAACAAAACCAAAAGCGAAAAAATCTGATAGCCAGGAAGCCGTGCAACGGTTTCGCGTTTGTTGTGCAGCTGCTGGGTGAAAATGTTTCACAGCATGCATAAATAATAAACGGGACATACATACACTCGCACACTTCCCCGTGCACTCACAAACACACTGGCATTATGCACATTTTGCCGTTTTGCGAACGCGCCCGACTGAGGCGTGATGCCAGAGATAGACAGAGAGACAGAGAGACGGAGAGGATGGGGCAGAGAGAAGCCAGGCAGCTTCTAAATTTATTTTATTAAGTCAAGCACACAGACAGCCATGGTATGGTATTCTGTCCCATCTTGCCTCAGCCCCAGCCCCAGCCCCAGCCTCAGCCAGCTGCACGACTAGTGGTATAAATAAAATAATTTACGGTAACTGCTGACGCTCATCAGGCCAGGACAGGACAGGCCAGGCCAGGACTATGACGAGGATGCTGTTGGCGTTGTGTTGACAAAACCCGGCATAGGATCATCATCATCATCATCAGCATCATCGGAGTGGAGCGGAGCAGAGCAGAGCGGACGCCCGAAACGCCGCTTACACACGGCGAAAAAAAAGTGTAGCATATTTTTTTGCGCAGGGCTTTTGTGTGCAGCTGCTGCTGCTGCATTTGCCCGTCGAGTGTGTGTTTTTTTTGCATACGAAATTAATACACATTTACATGCGTGTGTGTGTGTGTGTGGTTGTTTCTGGCTAAATATAGTTATAATTATGCGCGCACATTTTTAATTAAGTTTTGCACTGAGCCCGGCCGCAGCTTTGGGCCGCCGCGGAGATGTTACTCTTTTTGGCTTTGGCTTAGCTAAACATTATGCATACGCCCTGTTAAATTGCATTAATATAAGCCCTGCTCTGCATTCTTTCCGTGCTTTTTCCGCCTTTCGCCTGTCCTTCTGTTTGTCAAAATTACATATGTTAAACATTTTCTGTCCATGGCTTTAATTAATGCAATGCAAATTCGCCTCTTTTGTTTTACCCAGAGAGTTCCGACAAATGCTTCAAAACTGGGTTGCGCGTGGGCCTGTACGACGAGTACGTATGCTGCGTGGGTGGGACATTGTTGTGAAAGAAAATATTTCCACTTCAGCTGACTGCGACTACGACTAAATGGATGCCGGATTTTAAATGAGCGCAGAGAAGCATTGGACAAGATGAATTCCCATTGTCTCTCGTAAACGACGCTACTGAAATTTAAGAGGGGTATATATAGTCATTATAAGCGGTATGTAAAATAAGATGAGAGGGACGATGAAGATGGATCAGAAATGGCTCTAGCAATCTTACAGATTTTGATTAATGTGTAAGCAACATTTAAACAGCCTAGGATAATGATATTAATATGACTATTCCTACATAATGCTTCAGCTGATACTTAGTGGATCACTAACTAACCATACGCTATTCAGCTATTACTACAATAAAAACATCGTTCTAGAACACGCCAATATGGGTTAATCGAGCCTTGTAAATTTATTACGAAATTCCATTATGCACATTCATGCATCTGCATTTTTTTCTTGTGGTGGGCTTTGGCTTATGAATGTTGATAAATATTTCCAATTTAATAAAAGTTTAGTTGGCCACTCTCCGACCAGTTTTTTTTTGCCTGCACTGCTATTGTTGCGTCGAGGAGCACAAAACACTTTTCTGTTTTTTAACGCGAAAGTTTTGTTATGGAAATGCGGCAAGTTTTTGCTACTTTTCCATATTTCTGCTCGTTTCGTTTCCTTTCCTTTTTTTGCACCATGGTGCGAAAGTTTTAAATATGATTTTATTTGTGCTGCGAGTTGCGGGGTTTTTATTTGGTCAGCTTGCAGCTGATTTGGTCTGCGGCAAGGCAAAGTTGTTGCCACGGATTTTTAAAATAAAGTAAACTACATTTTTCTTTCCTTCTTGTCTTTGGCGTGACACCAAGGAAAAAGTTCCAACGCAGCTCCAACGCAGCGACTTAAAGTGAGTGGAGAAACTGCAGAACGGAACCGTTTAAGCACCCCTAAATCATGGCATGTCCTTGTCTGGCTTGCTTCATCCACATATTTTATTCTTTTTTGGCAAGATTTTCTACTTAAATGCATTTGCTGCTGGCTCGTCTGGAGAGGTCCAGCTGTCTGGCCTACCGTCCCTGCTGTGTCTGGCTGGCGCGGAACTTTCACCGTCGCCTCTGCTCTTCCTGGTGCTTTAGTTAAATTATTATAATGATTTACACTGAAGTGGCTGTTGCAACATTTTCCTTTTTTGTGCCCAGACAGCCAGAGATAATGACCTGGTGATCTGACACTTGTTCGTGTCTTTCCAAGATATTTCCACTATTGAAATGTTTGCATCTTTCGCATTCAAGCCTTTTCTTACGAGCCCACAAACTTGATGTCATCTACTCGTTGTACCTCTGTCAAATAATTGCCACTTGGCGGTCAGGCACATGGCCAGGACATCTACATCGGCCGCACTCGTATTTAAAGGTTTCAATTTTCGAGTGCGGGAATTGGCCCCACTTCTGGGCTCTTGATGTCTCTTCCAAGACAATTCAGGGCCTTGTATCTTGGCCACATTCGTCTTGGCCAGTTGTGCTCACAGTGTGAAGGGGCACACTGGCGCAACCCCAAAGTGATTTTATGTTTAATGAAAGGTGACATGTGCCAACAACAGTCAGGGTAGGGTCCGGGCTCGGGCCCTTGCCACATTCCTGGTCGACCGAGCTGAACGCCCGTTGTAGTGTCAGTTCCATTGTTGGCCAGGGCCAGGCATGTGGCTCCTGCGTGTCCCTGTGGTTGCTGTTGCAGCATGTTGTACATTATTATGAACTCGAGTGGTTTTCGAGTGCGGCAACAGTTTGCTGCGGCCAGATGGAAATGTCATAGTTCACCAAATGAAGCAATAATTTTCATTTAAATGTGGCTCTAGAAGGGAATATTTCCAATTATATTTCAGATGCAATATTCTTGACATAATAAGATGGCAAGTTTATGAATTGCAATTCAATCCAAAAATCTGTTATGGTTTATACTCACTCATGTGGCCATTGGTCGCCTGGAGGGGCTAAGTATCAATGCTACCTGTGGCTACTTTCAACGGATACTGCATTAATTAAGCATTTAGTTTATATTTCTATGACAAAAGCAAGCAGCCAGCAAGTCTTATCCCACTGCAAAAGGCTGTTACTCGACCCATTGAATGGGATTTTGCTGACTTAAATTTCGTAATATTAGCCACGTTGTTTCTGCATCCACTGCATCCGTTTCCTATGAAACTTTACTTTGAGCTGAAATTGCAGCTGCATTACTCCCGCTTGGAACTCTCTTCGGTTCGGTTCAAATCTCGGCACACTAATTTATGCTGCTGCTTCGCTCTGCTCCACTCCGGGAACGGCAGCTCACTTAATTTCCAGTGCGATTTTTCTCGGGACTCCCAGCAGCGGGCGGCAGATACAGAGGGTGTGACGGAGAAAGGCGGCGACAAAGTGACAAACAACTAAGCGAAAATCGCGTGCGTGACGCGTGGCAGGGGCATAAAGTTTGTGACACGTTTCCCCAGTTGCATTTTGTTTTTATTTTCACAGCCAGAGCCAGAGCCAGCAGCCGGAGAAGTTCTGGTGCTGCCAAAGAAGCGCTAAGGAGCAAAAAGGTCTGCGCTGCTCTGCTCTGCTCTGCCCCAAATGCCGATGGTGGGCATGATGGCGACACTTTACAGCCGCGTTGCATGCCTTGGGGCGTTATGCAAGTCACGTTAATTTAACCAGCCAACTGTGAAGGAATATCAACAGCAACAGCAACAGAAACAGCAACGAGAACGGGGTGTTGGAAAACTTTTTGCCATTTTCAAAGGGACTTGAAAGGTGGACGAGGCAAATCAAAATGTTCAGCATGCCAGCAGAAATATGTTTGTTTTGTCTTGCTTTCCATACAACTTATGGGGCCGGCCAGCCATACGCCACGTTCTCCCCTCCCCCGTCACCATCGTAGGGCACTCATTAAGCGTGTTTATATAATATAAATTAGCTTAATTTGAAAACATTTTTTGATGCCAAAACTTTGCCCGCCTTCTCAGCCGTCGAGCAAGAAGGGGTGGGGGCAAGAAACTTCTGTCTCAGCTAATTTATATGCCCGTTGGACATTCGCGCGCTGGCCAAAAAGTTGCCGCCAACTTCTTGGTCTTCGTCTCTTGTCTGCTGTCTCCTGTTGCGGGTTAATAAGACGACGACCAACAAATTGCCAACATTACTCTTTCCCCGACTGGTGGGGCGTGGCGTGGGAGATCTAAGAGAGAGAGTTTAGGGCCGCTTGCAAATAGACTTTTGAGTGTTGTACTTGGTTGCGGTCCCGGCAGCTGTCTTGTTGACTCTCCTCTGCGATGGGCCGGTTCAGTCTTCGCAAGTGTCAAAAGCGCAGGCAATTAATTTGGCCTAATTAGACTCTTGGCTGCTTGGCTGACGGACTGACTCTCCGCCCCCGCCCCCGCCCCATACAGCCATCGACTGAGGTTGCAATTTTTGTGGCTTGTCTTAGTCTTAGCCAAATTGAAGCAAAGTTTGTCGAGGCACAAAGGATTTTCGGGCTGTTGAGCGATTTATGGCTTAATGGAAATGACTTATTGTACGTAAAAGTTGCGGCGAATCAAAGTGGGGGGGTGAATGAGCTATGATCTGGGGCTTAAGTTAGAATTTAAGGGAAAGGGAAAGACTATAATTAAATTGGTGCAATGCAAATAAAAATGTCATTAAAACATACAACTTCTGGCTTTATTCTTGGGTGCGCTTGGGTCTCCTTGTAGCCAGTATCGAATGGCACTACATCCTGGCCATCTATCCAAGATCGAGGCAAATATCTTAGCAACAGCAAAGTGTTTCCATTTATCTAGTCAGCTGACCATCGGAAGCAGCATCTTGCAGCAGCAATCCCATTGCTGGCCTCCCACATGCCCACAACTTGAGCGTAACTGTTTCAAATGCCTCCTCGGTGCCAGGCCATAATTTGCTTAACAACTTTTCCCAATAGTTGGCACACTGCTCTCCTTCGCTTGCTTCTTTCCCCTCCTATCCCCTCTGTGACTATCTCTCTCTCTGGGGTCTGTGTTGGCCGGGGGCCAATTTCTTTGGCACCACCGTTCGACACTGGCCGCTTATATAATAATTTTGCAGCATAATTTATGGGCAGAAAAGTTTTCTGTGGCTGCCCAGTCGAACAATTGCCACTATAATGTTGTGGGCCCTTGCATTTTACATTTTATTCCAGCCAAAAAATGTTGGTTGCTCCGTCCAAGCGTAAACTATGCGGTCCAGCCATAGCCATCCGCCTCTCCTATCCGCCGCGGCCATAAATTTCTGCCCTTCCGCTTATCGAAAGCGGGACATGGAAAACAGGACCCGTTTCGGACCGACACCCACCCACACCACACCACACCACACCATTGAATGGCATAACAAACGTCAAATTGATTTTAAATTGCATTCCTCGTTTTGGTATTTGCCTAAGCAAATAGAGAAAATATTTCTATAGCCCTGCAAATGTTTGGCAGCCAAAGAACGAACAGTAATGATTTTACTTAGAATTTAAACTTTGCTTAATATGAAGGCTGAGACAACGGAACAATTATATTGTATTTTAATCTTAAGTTAACTTTTGTCTGCGTTGCTTTAATATATGATAACAAGAGTACAATTTAAATAAAAATCCCATAATTAATGCACAAGCCCCGCGTATTTACTCTGCTATTTAATTGGGGGATTTACTTACACTCGCATTAGCTGTAAAAGTTGCACAAACAGTATCTGACCGATACCTTTGGTTCGCTCACCCATTGTGGCTGATAAGAAGTGCTTATTGGTTTTGAAATCGGAGACGGAGTGTGGCTGTCCGGAGTTTATTGCGGACGCGGCAGCGGATGGAGGTGTTTGTAAACACGATACACGCTGCTCTCTTTGCGAAATATTCTATTGCGGGTATCTGTAAACAAGCAAACAAATGAATGCAAAGATAAAAAACGTGATCATTGAACAGGCAAAACTAAAAGCAAGCAACAACAAATTGTGAGTCACAAAACTACATAGAGTGGGAGATTCAAGTAGGAGAGTAAAAAATACAGATGCTCGGAAAGACAAAAACTTGTCATGTGAGCTAAACAAAAAAAAAACAAACAAAAAACAAACAGAAAATCTAACAAAATGGAATTGTTATATTCGGATGCCGAAGCTTTAGATACTCTGCACATTCATGTCAGATATATTGCAAGAAACGTACACACATACTATATACTCGCTAATATATATATATTCTTTAAACACAGTGCTTGCTGTGGCAGCTATTAATTAGTGATCCAATTAGCAGGGACTACATACTACATTATACTATTAGAATAAATTCTCCTTAATTCTTTTGCTAATATGCGGCTTAAATCATACTATCTTTTGGCTTCAAGGGTATACCAACAGATACTCCAATGAATGAACCTACGAAGAGTGGGAGAGCGAGCGCACTAGATAAAGATTTCGAGAGAAAGCTCCGCTAAAGCTGGCGGCCCGCAACAGGTGAGCGCTCAGTTCTGCTCTTGTGGCCAGAGCTTGCAGTACGCCGAACGGGAGTGGGGAACGCTTGAGAACGGAACACGTCAGAGACCCACCGCCAACACCAGCCTGAGCGCGCCTTTAAGCCAAGCCAAGCTGAGCCGAGCCGAGCCGAGCTTTTGGCTCTGAATAATTTGTGTGCGAGTGTTTTTTGTTGCTGGGTGTGCCGCAGCAGTGCGACGTGAACGGGCGAGCGGCCAACACGTAAGCGGCGCGTTGTGCAGTCTGAACGAAAGTGTGAGAGAAACAGACGACAATAAGCAGCAGTAGCAGCAGCAACTCAGGTGTGAATTGATATTGAGGTTATGTAAGCGTCAGGCCATAAAAACGCGAAAACAAAACGCTGCTGCATTTGCCAGGCCAAGCCAGGCCACACGTTTGTCACTAATTCAAGACACGCGCTTTGCCCCGATCCAGCTCCGCACCCCTCTACCTCCAGCCGGAGAGATTCGCATTCCAAATGGACGACTCCAAGGCGCAGGCGCAGCTGCAGCAGCAGCAAAACCATCCTTTGCAAGATGTGTCCCTAAACGAGAATGATGACGACAAACAGACGCCCAAAAATTGGGTTAAATTCGATGATGAGGCAGAGGGCAGTGAAAAAAATAATAACAGTAACGACAGCGATGCCACACAACAACAAGAACAGCAGCAGCAGCAGCAGCAGCCGCCGCAGCCGCAGCAGCGGCAAAACAAGTTAGCTCTGCCGCCGCCGCCGTCGGTTGTGAGCAGCAACAACAACAGGCGGGCGCGCTCGCGCAGTCCGAATGAGCAATCGACAACAACAACAACAGCACCTGTCCAGGTAAGTAGCTCTCACCGCTCTCTCCGCTCTCTCTCTCTCTTAACTCTTGCTCTCTTGCTCTCTGTATCTCGCTGTCTCATTCGCGTGCGGGTGACCCAAACGCAGCGAAACGCATTCCAATGCACATTTGGCCCTTCTGCCCCTCCTTCACGAACAAACAGAGGCAAACAGGGTTGGTACAGTGAACTCTCTGCATTATAGAATATATCACCACAGAAAATATCAGTTTTAGAAGGGGGCTATAAGTCGTGATATATAGGAAATATATAGGTAGCTTAAATTAATGAATAATAATATAGAAAAGAACAATTAAAGTTTCTCTGTAGCCCAGTGTCTACTGTACTCATACTGTTCCCGCTTAATGGAGTTGTTATGAAAAGTGGTTTTTGTATTTTCGAACTCTCTTTCGAGTCGTTTTTGGGAACGTTTCTCGCATGACAAATGAGGTACTGCCGAGTGAGGTTCAGGCTGAGAAGTTGTAGCTGAGCTCCATCCGGTGATAAACTCTGACTCGATGTAGTCATGATTGTATTGGACACGTCACAGTAGCTGCGTACTTATGTACAAAATTCTGAGAAATTGTTCTGTAAATTTAAACAGACTTACGCCAAAGTTTTATCGATACAATGTCACGTTTCCTTTAGTTCAGTTTCCATTTCAATAATAAATAAATTCTCTCGAAAGTTCTGAACTTTTCTCTTCGCAAATGTTCTACCCCAATACCAGACCCTCTCGCCATAACGAAAGATAAACTCAATTCGTATTCCATTTCCACGAGCGATTGTTAAAAAATGTCACCTTCACCGGTGCTTTTTTGTTTGTTTACTCTACTGTTTCTCCGAAGTAAATATTTAATATTTATATTTGTATAATTTATTTTTTCGCAATTTGCAATTGGAGTCCCTTAACAGCCTGTGGCCCTAAGGTGGTTTCGTGTCACTGTGAAAATTGGCATATAAAACACACACCTAAATATTTAATTGTATTATTATACAATTGTAGCTGACTAAATTATCAAATTTAATTTAAATGGGAAATACGTATGCATGTACTTTGATTGTTGTTTGTTACTGACCTTGAAGTTCTCCATTCAACCATTATCTGCCCGATAGCTTAGGCAATATTTTGTGGTAGATTCCAGCATGAAATTGATTCTATATGCTCGGGGCACGACTCATTGCAATTGGTCCGGACTATTATCTAAACTTATATCAATGTTTGTGGATCCACTGGATGCTGCTGTCTCTTGGGTGGTTCACAGGGCCTTAACTTGTTTACCTAAGCTTATCAGACTTTCGTAGTTTGTTTTTGAAACCGACCGCATAAATATAAATGTTAAAAAATATGTGTACCAAAAATTATCTGTGTTATCGGAAGAGATAAAAACTACAGATGCCGGCAATTCCAATTATACACAGAGATAAATATCAAACGATTCCGAGAGTTTGGAAGTTTTGCTATTGCAAAACTCTTATGAGAGATTTATATTACATACGTGTATGGGTACAAGCAAAAACTGAAAAATTTAGCTGTGCAGCTGTTCAGCTGCTGGCCCCCTTCTGAAGTCAGCGGATTGGATTGCCTTCGCAAAGCTATTTAAGGGGCCGTGGAGCTCTCTAACGCGTACGTGCAAATTGAACAATTATTTTCATTGCAATTTGTGTCCAGATTTATATGTAGATACCTTTTTTGAGCGATTCTCTTGGCCCTGCAGTGCTTAAAAAGTAAAATCAAAAATCAATAAAATTGATTTTCTTTTGCCCATTTGCATAATTTTCTTTGCCGGCTGGCCACAGGCTGACCCAATGACGTTCAAAGGCCAAGAGCACTATTAACCCATTGTTGTTGCCCATTTTCCCAGCGCCCAGCCGTTTCCTCGACAACAGCTGCGGCTCCAGCCCCAGTCTCGGCAGCAGCCTCGTCGCCGGATGTGGCGCCCGCTGTTCTGACAACTGAGAGTACGCACGTTAATCTGAATGCATCCGGCAGTGGCATTGTCAGCGGCAACGCTGCCAGCGGAGCGAGAGCCTCCAGCCCGGCCCGACACCCCCAGCAGCTAATAAACCAAAAAGCAACGGTAGCCTCAACATCCTCCGTCCAGGCGGCAGCCTCCTCCTCCGGCCTCCACAACGGCAATGGGGCCCATGGCATCAGCGGCAGCAGCGGCAGCAGCAGACCCATGGATCAGGGCTCCGGCATGCGCACAATTGAACTGTCAACGGGTCGAATCCGTGAGGGATTTGGTAAGTACCCGGCGATGATAGTCGAGTCCATTGCATGGTTTCTGAGGCGGTACACCAACGTCTATTTATGTCTTCAATGATATTCCACAGCGAATGGCGATGTGATTGTCACCCTGCTGCCGGCCAACACCAAATGGCCTTGGATTACGCCCGCAATATTTCGCCCGGAGCTGGTGCCGGAGGAGCTGATGGCCCAGGGTCTGACGGTAAGCAAAGTCAATTGCAAAATGATCCATCATCTAATGTCTCACGATCACAGCTCACCGTGGAGGACTATGTGAATGCGATGGAGACGCTGGTGAATGATTACCGCTTCACCGTGTACAACATTTGCTACAAGCGCATCCTCGTCTGCTGGATCCTGTTCGCCTTCACCGTGCTGCTGGCACTGCTGTTCTCGGGCCTGCAGGGCGTTGCCCTGTTCGCGCTGGGCGTCGGCTGGCTCTTCTTGAATGCGGCGGCCATATTCCTGTGCATGTGGGTGAAACTGCGCCTGTCGCGCGGCCTGGAGAAGTGTCTGGCCCGGGTGAACAAGCAGCTGATGCGGCACAAGATACTCCTCGTGCTGGACGACCGAGGCCGCATCTCCTGCCACAAGGTCAACCTCTGCTTCATGTACTTCGATGCCACGCAGTGCGTGAGCTTCCTCAACGAGTTCCTGGAGCATACGGAGCAGAACGGCGGCGAGGCCATCAAGGCCGGTTGGGAGGCCAAGCTGGACATTGATCTGAACGATATTGTCATCCAGGGCAGTCAGCCAGTGAGGATGCCGCGCAAGCAGGTGAGCGTTTGAGCTGTTTTCATTCCATTCAGTTGGTGGTGAATTTTTAAATGCACATTCCGGTAGTTGTTGCTTCCTTCATCATCATCTCCCGAATCTCTCGATAACAGCCACCTCTCTGTCTGTCTTTCTCTCGCTGTCACTCATGCACCTCACCAATTATTAACTGCTCTCTCTAGGCCTTTGCCCAGGAGCTCTTCCTTAGCTATCTGCAGCGATGGGGCAAGGATTTTCTGCGTCGTCGTCTCGATTGGACGGTCCAGGAGGCGGGAGTCCACGAAACGCCCAGGCACCTGCAGTCGTCCATCTGCCCCTGTCAGTATGAGGAGGAATTGTTGCGTAATAAAATCAAAATCAGCCTGCAGCATCGCCATTGCTGTGGCATCAACTGCATGGGCTGCTGGCTTTGAAACAGCCAGCGGAAGCGTAAGCGGAAGAGGCGGCATCTCTGATTTGTACACACAAGAATTGTAATTTTCCGTGTTTTGATTAGCGTGAACGAATTAAATTGCAGAATTGCAAAACAAAAGAACATGAAGTTTGTGTCATTGCATTGTATTTTTAAGCAATTCATTTGATATGATTTGATTTGATATGATTTGATTTCGTTTCTGTTTCAGTTTCAGTTTCTATTTTTCGTTTAATTAATATTGCAGCCCGAAAGTATGCAGCACATTTCTGTTATTGCATATTACTAATCCGCACTGCCATACCCTCCACCACTCCAGTTGCTAACCCACTCGACCTTCATCCCATCCCCAGCTATCTCTCACCTCAATATCTGTTTACTCTTCTTGTGTTTCTCATATCCCGATCTAACCCTGATCTCTCTGTAGGAGCGCGGCCTGCAGCTGTTCCTGCGCTACGGCTCCCGCTGGGGCATGGAGGCGTTGAGGGGCCTGGTGGACGTCACGCCCCTGGAGCCGGGCCGCCACTGCGGCCAGTTTCAGTGCCCCTGCCAGTACATCAAAGAGCATTTGCAGTGCAAACCGCGAGGCAAGTTCAAGTGTTGCAATTTCGTCCATTGGGTGTTGGCATCTGAGCGCTACGATAGTTAAAGTCTTTTGTATTAGTGAATGTTTGTTTGCTGTCTGTCCATTGCTGTACATTTATCTGCCATTGTGCCGTAACTAAAGAATTTATCGTGTGCTACGTTTGCTACGCGAGGCCATGCTAGAGGCTTTGTCTAAACCCGTGAATTTATTTTTGTTTTTAATCGGTCATGTTATTATTTTTGGAATGAACACATATACATACATGTACATATATATTTCTAAAGGTTAAGATCAGAAAATACCAACAAGCTACCAAAACATACATGCCCCTGCATCTGTATGCCAGTGAATGAGGCTAAAAATAATTTCAATATATAAATAAATTCTCTCTCGTTTCAGATGTTAGCCCATAAGGCTTCGTTAATGTTTTTGTAGTTTTTGGTATATGTTTTGACGCAATCTTAATACCACTTAATCCCTCCCTAACTCCCACCTAAAACCCAACTTTATATGTGTACAAAATTAACTCGAATGTTTTCTAAATTTGTTGTTTAAACATGTTTCTTTGATGCCTGCCAATTTGACACGAAACAGTCGCCATTAACAGCATTGGTCAAGTAGTTTGGACACGATTCCCCCTGTTTGGTGGCTAAATGTTGAGCGGGTGTTTTGGCCCAGATACCACAAATACCTTGACCATGACCCACAACACACACACCCACACACAAACAGTCTCGATTATGAACAAAAACTAAGCCGTTTCGATATTATTATTTCAACAAAATTATATCTAATGTTTACTGAATGCAAAACGAATGAATTTCTTATTAACATAAGCACTGTGAAGATTTTCTTTCCATTTATACTATATACTATATACTCTACTTACTTACTATATTTTGTTGGTGTCATGAATAAATGTGAAATATATGTAAAATGTATATACTTACTGTTGATCAGTCTTTTATTAATTAACACTCTCGTACGTATGCGTATTACTGATTCCACATGTCTCCTCTCTCATTGAACGCCTCTTACAGGTTATCCATGTGGGTGCATTGTCTATGGTTCGGATCCAAGTTTTCAGTATCGTTACTAGAACTGTTGTGCCTCATTTTAATATTTAACCCCTCAGTCGGGACTTGTTTGTGTTCGAAGCCTGCAATTTACGTACATATATTAATGTTTCATGTATACTCAATAAATAAAAGCACATTCTTCAGCATTTTAAGTTTTACTTTAATAGAACATTGGAAAGACTTTCAAGAGAGTCGAATGTGCTCTTCTGCCAGCAAAATAAAATACAAAATTAATTTGGGTGAACAAGAAAAAACTGTTGCCGTGCTTGGACAGCATAAAACTATGCACGGGTACAGTGCGTTTCGAAAATATAAGACAACGAGTCAACAAATCTTATTATGAGCGAACTCTACAAGTCCATTGCAGAATGAATAATACCTGTTAGCTATGAAACGTACTGTAGTTTTATATATGTATGTTCCATATGGTCCGGTGCTTCCTGACTCTCCATTTGTTTTTTTTTTTCGGGGGCTGTTGTGGGGCATGTGCCAGTTTAACTATTATTGCATTATTTTTTATTGCATAATTCAACTTAATGTTTTGCCGCATTTTAGCCACATTCACGTTCCACAAACTGTGGCTGTGGCGAAAAGTTTGCTGTGGTCCGTGCCTGTGCGTCGCCCATTTTGTGTTGCATGTGTAATGAGTCATTAACACGGTGCAGCATTTTGGGGAATTCCACACCATTCATTGCATTTTCCATTTTGGTGCATGTGAACCACTTAAATGCCTTAAATTTAATATCATTTCTGCATTCAAATTAGCTGGCAGACGTTTGTATCTATGCTGATGGCCAATGCAGCTATTATTATATTACGTATGTACATATATCTGTTGAAGAGCTGCAACTATCTTCTTGTGGGTAAGTATAATCGTATTCTGGCACTTTGATTTGATTTCCCATTCCGTTCAGCATGCCTGCCACTGCTGCTGCTGTTGCTGCTGCTGCCTTTCCAAACCTGCGAAAAAACACACAACAGAATTAAAAACAAAACACGATTTCACGCTCCAATAAAACAAATTCAAACTCTTGGGGCAGGCGGGCAGGCAGGCAGTCAGCGTGTGGCAAGAATGCGCCATTAAATTTTCACCAAACTTCGTCGAACTCGAGCAACTCGTTAGTCCAACTGCACTCCAATCGACAACGAGTCAAACGAGGTGCAACCATTGCCAAAGGCAGTGCCCCACCAGAGGCGCGTAAACTAATCGCAAACAAACAAACATACACAATCACCCATACTACACCCACCCCCCACCCCCACCACATACAATCATTACACTCATTCCCAAACCAAACCAAACCAAACCAAATTCGAGGCTCATCAAAGTTTTTCCTTCTCTACTGCTGCTGCTGCTGCTGCTGCATTTTTCGGAAATTCAATTCATTTGTGTAATTTTCATTTGAATTACAGCCATCAAAAGTGCCAGAGTTCGTGGGAGAGAGAGAGAGAGAGAGGGGAGGCTGGCATGCCTGTGGGCGTGGCAAGCGCTGATGGCCCGCACTTTGTGCATTTCATTGCAACGGAAAATGCGAGCACTGGTTTCCCTAACCAGAGGAAATTGTTTGATTGGATTGTAAATAGAAAAATTCCCTCCTTTCTTTTAGCTGATGTGCAGCAACAAATTTTAACTGGAACATCCCACATGTATAATCGTTTTCTTAGATTTAATTTTAAAATAAATAAATTAGATTGGATTCTTACTCAACATATCTAAGACATCTATTTGGGTCTCCTATAATACGTAGAAGTAATTTTGTATAAAGTGTAAAGTTATCACACTCAACTGCAACGAAATGCATGTATATTTAACCCAATTAGATATCTGAAAAATCTTCTGCTTAAACGAAGGAAATACCAAAATATTCACAAACTCAAGTGAAAATCACATTAAATATTTTGCCCATATTATGGGCTAGAAAGTGTATCCAAATAATCAGCAATTTATTTTGTGTGATTCCCTAAAATCGTTGTTATTTGTTGTATTTATTTTTTGCTGCTGTCGACGCTGCCGCCGTCGTTTTTGCATTTATTTTGCGGCTAAAACTTTAATTGAGTTTTAAACCATTTTCCTGGTTGGCCTCTAGCTCCGCCTCCAACCCATCCCCATCCGGATTGTTTATGTGGTATTTTTTTTTCCAGAGCACCGCCTGGCCGGGAATGGAGCTTGCAGCTTGAAGGTAGCCAATGGCCTGGACTGGCCCGTCCTAGTACTGGTCCTGGTCCCAGCCTGTGAGTGATGAGTTTTCGAGCAAATGTTTTTCTTGTTATTTTGTGTGTTTCGTTGCTTCTCTTTTCAGCCTCTATGTGGGAATCTGTGAAGCTTTCGGTGCTCTGCCTACACTTTAATTTTTTTTCGCTATGTTTTCTCTCTTGTTTTGTTTTTTTTTTTTTAGTTTTGTGTTAGTTTCAGTTTTATGCTCGCATTGCATTTTAAGTGCACAATTTTTTGTTATTTCCACGGCTCTCGGGGAGCGCAGGCCTCCTTACAGTGTCGGCAGAATAAATGATCGTAATAAATATATGAAAATATACTGTACAGTGGATTGCTTAATTCATAATATTGTTCTTCTGTCCCATACATCGGCTGCCAGCTATATAATTTACAATGACACTGTTAAGAGGAGGACATTTCGGCAGGAAGAACGGGTTGAAAATTGTTATATAAAGAGCAACCGAATAGCATTCGAGTAGACAATAATAATAATAAATGTATATATACATTTAGCAAATCCCCTATTAATCATTATTTTATTGCCAGCGAAACGATCTTGAATGTCCATTTGTTATCAGATACTTAAGGGCCAACCAGTATGCAAACCATTAGCGAATGCGGCATTCGCCACCGCATTTGCAACACCTTTATGCCACACAGACACACATACATATACACACACACACACACACACACACACACACACACACACACACGCATGCAGTTACACCTCTAATAAATATGGCATTAAATCCTTTTTAACAACAGGCAGCAGCGAGACAGCAAATACGGGACCACAGACCATCTATCATCATAAAAATAAACCGGACAGAGACCAACAGGAACAGGAACAGGAACAGGAACGTGCTGTCTGCCCCTCTCGAGCAGCTATAAAACATTAAACATGGAATCGTAGCAGGATCGCGGCTGGGAGGAGACCAGAGCTGGGACTGGGAGTCCTGGTACACGGGTGCTACCAGGGAAGGGGGTGCACGGGTGTTAGCTCCCTTGGCCACAATCAACATCATTAACGCGTGCTCTAAAAGCCATTTATTTAGTGGCCAATGCAGACAGGACGAGCCATGTTAAAAATTCTCAAAGGCTCGAAGCGACAGCACCGAGTGTGGGAAACTATAAATTTAACGCTTTTAGCATAATTGCTGGCGCATGTGCGTGTCGGCCCAAAAGACGAATGGACGACGCTTAAGCGTTATGATAAGTGGCCGCCAAAGGATACAAGCGTCAACACTGGCGAACGCTAAGTTATGCCCTCCATCCGGCCATTACTCGTCCGAGTCCTCAGCGCTCAGTCCCCGTGTTGGTTTTCCACTCATATTACTTGGTCTAGGATGACGATGGCAATTACCACCATCCTCCGCTCGCAAAAAGCCCCCACTGCCTGCCAGACCTTTATCAAAATATTTTGCAGCTTAATAAGCTTGCGCGGGACTGACTGAGCTGCTGTTGTTTAACCCTTTTAGGACAACAAACACTTGGGAGGGAAGGAGCACCAACATTGAATATTTATCGTTTGTCTAATCGAGACAAATCAGGTCAGGAAGGCAGGCAAGACGAGTTCAATGGGGCGTATGCGTGATTTATGCGTTTCACATCCGTCGTAATTGCCTCAACTATGCGTGCACGCCCAATGTAAATTGACATCCCTCAAAGAAGATGTATGTGCAAAGGAATTACTAAGAAAGCACATATATTTCTTAGCTCTAGGGATAGGGAAAATAAAACGCAAGCCAGTTGAGTGAATTGGCCGTGCAAATTCCGCCAAATGCACAGCACCCTAAACTAAGTTATTTACAATCGAAAGAGTAAATCCATTTCAATGAAGCCGACTAATCTGCCTGGCTTCTCCTCCTAATATCGTTACTGATTTCGCTTTCAATTACACTTAACAAAATAAATAAATTCCAAAATAGGTAAAGTTCTATTTCCGTTCGTATTTACCCTCCTTTTGCACTCTGTCTCTTCTCTCATGTGTTCTCCTGCGCTTGACACTCTTTAATTGTTTTTGATAAGAGCGACTGCAAAAGTTAAATTACATTTGGCAGCCCCTACTTTCGTTTGTCAACCGAGCGTTGCTATGCAGAAGTACGACTGCCGATCCCAGAGTTCATGGCGATATGCGATTTGCTGGGAAAGCATAAGATATCCAGCAAGATAAAAGTTTCACTGCCTTTTAGCCTCACTTACCTAGATGGAAACCAGGCCGGACCTGCACTCTGCTGGGGCCAACAAGTGAACAGCCAGAAAGACAACACAATCCCATCTCATCCAGAGACACGCGCATAGAAAGATGTCGTATGCATTTGTTGGCCCTCTTGGCGCACTCGTGCTCTCCCCTTGTGTTGACGCAGATTTAATTACAATGTTGGCGCCTGCATTCACGTTTATTCCACTTGTCACTCGGGATCCTCACGAGCCTCCGTTGTTATTGCTGCATGTGCAAACAGCCACCCGCCCCACGTCCAGGTCTGGCTGACATGGAGATGATGATGCTGCTGGGGCACTTGGGGTTGCTGGCTGCCTCCTGGCGTGGAATAGTAGCTGATGCTTTTGTTTAACAACAAATACTCAGAGCGCTGAGCAGCCCCACATACTCGTATGGCCCTCTGCACCGCTGCTCTAGGTCTGGTCTGGTCTCGTCGGTTGCTACTTTTATGCACTTTTACAAATTGAATTTTCCACTTGCATACGTCCCCAGAATCGTTTCACACACACATAAAAAGGCCGTGTGCAAAACAAAAAGGGCAAGGCGAGTAACGCTGCTGGATTCCCCCGTTCGGTTTGTTTCTGACACCTATTTTGTCGGCCCTTCTTTTTTATGTGAACTTTAACTTTGGCTTTTTCTTATATCTGGTAATCGAAGATATAATACCTAGAAGGCAGCGTTTCCGATTCCCTCTTATGGGGATAACCAACACTAAACAATAAATATACTCGTATGTATGTAGAACAAGCCGACATGTCTTCCTTTTACAATGCTTCCCGTTCAACTACTAATTGCGTGGAAATTTCGCTCATTTCCACTCGACGGCTTTTCAATGGCAGCCGCAACAATTTCCACACAACTGAGGCAGCAAAAACTGCAACTGGTTTTCTATAAGCGTGCCACAACAAAAAGAGGCAAATCTGTTTGGCCTGGTTTTTTTCAGAAAAATTGTGTGCATGTGCTACGCATTTCACTCTCGTTTTCCCTCATTGTGTTGCCTGCTTGTGTTCTCCTTTTGCTTATTTTTTTTTGCAGTAGCTTTGGTAAATTGTTGGCTGAACAGCTGAAGGAGAGGCATTGTGTGCTCGGTCGGGCGTAGAATCACAAAATGTTGGCATGTGTCCATTATATCATTTTCCTGAAAGTTTAAAATAAGTAAAATAAAATTAAAATAAAATAATAAAATATCATTTTTCTGAAAGTTTAAAATGAGTAAAATAATATTAAAATAGCCTAAAAATAATAATAATAATAAAATATTAAATAAAAAATAAAATAACTCTCACATCAGAGGTCGTCCTCTTCAGGGCTGAGTACAGTCCTGGTACTTACGGCTTGACGTGTTCCCCCTGCGCTTCATATTCATCTGGATTTTGTTTTGTTTTTGTTTATTTTTGCTGTAAACTTTTGCATACATTTACATACAAATATGTCACATAGATATGCCGCCACTTATCCACATAGATAGAACTATAGATATATGCTATATATATATATATATATATGTTATCAGATATAACTAACTAAAGAGTTTTATATCATTTCCCGTTGCCATCTTTAGTTTCTGCCGAGCTCTTAAATATTCATTTTGTCCAATACAATTTCCACAGCGATTCTTTTTTCTTTAGATTTTTAATGCTGTTCGGTTCGGGGGTTTCTACATTTATATATTTATTTAATTTTATCAACATTTTAACATTCATTTCAACTGCATACTTTAATGTTTTAGATTTATTTACAAATGTTAAAGCGGAAAAATTGTGTGGCAATTTTCGCTTAAATTTGAATGGAGCTTGTTGGGTCTTAGGCATAATTAAATGGAGTCTGAATTTATACAAAAAGTTTGCTCTGATATATATATACAGTGTCATGAAATTCGTTTAATATCCATTAAGGTTATTTTTTTATTTAAATATTTACATTCAAGGGAGCACAAAAAGTGCACTAATTAAACTCCCATTAACATGAGCAACACCGAAAGGAAAGCGGAAAAATTATAATTTCCAGGCAATATATTAGTTTTAATGGGTTCTTTATGTTGCTTCAAAAAATTGCAATTGAAACAAATCGATTGCAATAAAAACCATATCATTAGCAGCTGCCTTTTTCCACAATGGGAAACAAACAATGGGAAAACTATTGTATTCTTTTATATTTTTAGCATCAACCGTATATCTAATAAACGACTTAATTCAACACTTACATATTTTATTCTTTGCTATTTTGTGGCTTACTTGATTTGGTTTTCTATTTGTTATACGTTGGCTAAATTTACTAGGTAAATTCGCTATGTATGTTTATGCATAAATATTTTCATCTAAATGCAAATTTGATTAACCGTTTTTCACACATTTTGTTTGGTTTCTGTTGTTGGACTATAATTAGTTTATTTCCATTTAATTGGATATATTTATGGTTTTTACAATACGCAACGTTTGTGTAGTCATTTGCCAATTGTTTTTTGCCTTTTCGTACACATAAATCTTCTCATATTTTAAATATTCAAATGATTTTGAAATAAAATGGTCATCATACCAAATATTTGTAAAATCATTAAAGAATTAAATATGGAAACCAAATTAAATAAAATAAAATGGAATAATACCATTGAACTCTACGTCAAGTAGAGTTATAGAAATGTTCGGAGAGATATTTTCTTTAAAATGATGTTAATATATAAATCAGAAATCATTTGATTGTTTTTTGGTCATGCTGATGGTAGGTTTTAGGAAATGAATCACATAAAAAACTTATTTTTAATTAAAGAATTCAAATTGAGCGTGAGCGTTAATATTTTACCAACTAATCAGATACGGCTTGACCTTAATAATATTCATAAACAGACACACAAATATGCAAGTATGTAGGTCTTTCAGACAGATAAGTGAGCTGTTGTCTGCGCATTCCGATAATAAGTTATCGCCACTTTGTCCACACTCCACACTGAAAATGGAGTTGCAGTTCTTCCTTAATCAACTGTCAATCAACTTAAAGCCCGTATGACATCTAACATGATTTTCATTTTACGCTCTAACATAAACATATCTATATCTAATGTATTTGTAGTTGTATCTGTGTGTAAGTATGTATATCAATATGTATACCACGAACTGCAGCTGTCTGTGCTGTCCGCCTCTTCCATTTCGCGTCCTGCTCTACGCTTGCGTCCACGTCCACGTCCACGTCCTGCTGGTTTGATTTTATTTTTCAAGCTGCTCTTGTGCCCCAAATGAGTTTCTTTTTGCTTTTGCAATTATTTGATTTCATCTTGAAAACTTTCGAGGGCAGAGCATTGCAAATGTATTTGGCCTGGCTGCGGATGTGGCTGTTGTTGTTGGCATTGCTGTTTTTGCTCTTGTCGCTGCGGTGTATATGGCGACAACCTTATTACCAGCGCCTGCCCAAAATGTAAGCATTAAATGTTGCCTATGCGTCGTGCTAATAGAAAATGTGCCGATGTGGCGGCCGATAAAATGCAGCAGCATCGGGAGGAGCACAACAAAGCTGCCAGCCAATATTACTATGCAAATGAGCATTGGCCATTGCCTTTGCCATTGCCACTGCCACTGCCACTGCCACTGCCACTGGCTCTTCCATTGCCATTGCCGTTGGCATTTCGAATGTTGCGTTGTTGAAGCAACACACGGCGTATGAGCAATGTGAAATATGCGCAATTGCCACGCCCAAAATTGTAGGCTGTTGATGGTGATGGTGGTGGTGGTGCTGGTGCTGGTCCTGCTCCTGCTCCTGCTGTCGCTTGTCGTGTTGCTACTCCTGATCTCCCAGCATACAACTGCCTCGACGTTGACAACATCCTCCTCTGTGTGCGGCTGGTTTTTCATATTACTCATACGCCACCGACTCGGCGATGATAGCGATAACGTCGACGGCCAGAGCGCCGCTGGCAAGCAGCTCGATAAACGTTTGAAAATCCCCAATGATTGCGTTTTAATGCCGCGCATTATTTTACCAAGTAGATTATGCTGCGCCAGTGAGCCTGCAGAATTGTGAAATGCTCCAGGCGGATTACGCACGGGCGTTTGATTGTTATCGCCATTGTTGCCAGCATGGTTGCCTGACGAGAAGGAGAAGGAGAAAGAGAAAGAGAAAGAGAAGCACAAGCACAAGCAGAACATGTAGTAATCAGTTTTTTGGTTAGTCGGGTTTATATTTTCATTTATTTTGTGCGTTTGGCGAACACCAAACTGGCATTGGATACATTATCATCAAGGGGACTGGGTCAGATGGGGGTTGCTATGGGTTAGTATTGGTTGGGGTTAGGGTGGGTGGCATTAAAGAAAATTGCTCTTGACTGTCGGAAAGTATGCTGTGCACTTAATAGTTCTTCGTGTGCTTTCTGTGTGCTTTGGTTCTTGGGGTTACTTTGCTGGTTAATTTATTGAATTTGCTGTGGCTCTTGGTCCATTGACATTTGACGATTAGAACGAGAGAAATGACCGGACCCGGACTTAAAAAGTCATTCGAGTTCAGAGGGATATCTTTGGGGTTAACTTGTTGGGATTTAAATTGAATTGACAACGATTTCGTGGAGCATAAATATCGAAATATATGTAAAGGAATTAGTTCTCTGCCAAAGCGACTCCTTTGGCTAACCCAAATCAATCGTTCGATCTTCTTGGAGTTTTAACTCTGCTCAAGGACTTAATTCTGTGGGGTTCACTTTGTTTTCACTGCATAGGCACCAAGAGAGATTCACTTATGCTCTGTTTATTCCTCCTTTGTTCACAGGAAGAAACTTTAATATTTCACTCTTACAATCACTTGACAGGTGCAACCACTGAAGAGGGACGCCCTGCGGCCATATAGCGCCAGTCTCAATCGTTCACGGCTATATTTATGGAGTTCACTTAACGCCTCCTGCCCTGCTTGAGTAAGCGACTTCATCCTGCTTGCTGACATCCCGCAGTTGTCCCCTTTCTTGTGTACATTTCCACTCTTTCGCTACGTTTTACAACGTCATTGTACGTCTTTATATCGTCAAGGCATTGGTCGGGCATTTGGACAGCGATTACTTGACAATATTTCACCGCCGGGCATCGCCGCTTGTGTCTGCGTCTTTTGACGTCTTTGTGTCCCGTCCCCGTACCCCACTTTGTCGGACTGATTGAGTGCTGTGGCTGCTGGTTTTTATGCACGTCATTGAACGCACTTTGTTGACCGCATGTCAATGTCTGATGAACGAGCTACAGTGGGGTCCGAAAGACAATATGGCAACTGGAGCTGGAGCTGGAGCTGGGGCGAATGCAATAATAAATACAAATTAAAAAATCTTTCCCTAATTGCAGCCATCCATCATTATCCTTCTGCGTTGCCAGCTCTCATTTGCACCCTTTTTCGCCAGTTTATTCCCCAAAGGCGTCCCACTGTGAGCGGTTGTGGGGCGTGCATTAGCCGTTATATATAGCATATATACTCGCAGTATTTTATCTGCTTTTAATCTTTTGGCATTTGGCTTTTCATCAGCTGGCCCCATAAATAACAACAAAGTGGTCTTTGAGAGCCACATTCCGTGGGTTCTCCTGAATCGATTGTTATGTATGGTTATGTGGGGGGTGGCTTTTGTTGTTTTCACAACAGTCAGAGTCATAAATATAAAGTGATAGATGCGCACATTGTGGGTCAGCTTTGTATGGAGAGGCTGTGCTACTTATTGCTGGCTGTGGGCCAAAATCGAAATTGAATTGTCCGTAAATGAGAATGGGAATTTGAATCGAAATGTTCAAGGTTGAAGGTAGCGAGAGGAAATATGCAACTGCCTGTGATATAGTCATTATGTTAAGTATCCGATATGTGGGAGATATGGGTAATATCTTCAAACACTTCAGAAGTCTCGAGGCTATCGCAAGTCCCTAAAGCACCGACCCACATGTGTGATCAAACACCTCTGTGATTGTTTTCACAAAGACTCCCCCCCATTCCTATTCCTCGTGCGCATTTGATTGATGTCAACGGAAAAACAAAGACAGATAGATTCGGTGAGTGGTGAGAGGTGTGCGGTGAGCGGAGAGGCAGAGCAAAGTCAATGCCCGCATTTACGCTTGATTGAGGACACATTGAAAAGGTGTCAGAGCGACAGTCAGACAATTTTGATGGCATATTTCATTTGATGTCAAGCAATAAATATTTCCCTTTTGGGCATTCGCGGCGTTTGCTTTACCCCCCCTTTTATTTTTGGCTTCCGTACCTTTTTTGATATTTTATTTATAAGCCGCGACGATTCGTTGAGAATCCAACGTCAGAACTGCCAATCGACAATCAATCAAAAAAGCATTTCCCGTCGGGAATTTTGTGGTACATTTTGCCGCAGCCTTTGTTTTGAATGCGCTTAAATAAAATATGGTATGCCAAAGCTGTTTGATTTGCTCTCGTTTCTTTTGGGCCAAAAGCTGCCGACGCGACGCACTGAAATCAATATTTATTGTGCGAATATTTCCACATTCTGGTGGGTGTTCATATATGTAGATTTGAAATGGGCAAACAAATCCTAAACAAAAATACTTTGGGAAGGGAGAATGGAACTTTAAATGCTATATCAATGAGTCGTTTCCTCTCCATTTGACTTCATTTTTAAATATTTTCGAATATTACGTGGTCTTTATTTGCAGATTTGACATTATTTAAGTATGTTTGAAGTCGTGACATCCTCTGACCGTTACTCGGAAAACCACTTGGCCAGAACCTTAATGAACAGCATTTTCCAGCCCCTAATTGCATTCTCTTCCACTTCTGCATCTCCGCCTAAGTCTCTTCATTTAACTGCCCCGTCTTTCCCGAGGGCAAACATGGAAGCTTGGGGCACCAAACTCCAATGTTGAATCAATAAAGTCAACGGCCCACTATAAGAAAAGCCTTTTCCACTCGACCCCACACTGCCACATACCCCTACCCACATTCACTCCCCTACTGGCTTCACCCACCATGAACAGGCATTTTATCTGTTTTTTTCCGCATTCTTCCTTGGTTTTTTTTCTCTCCTTTTCGGGCACTTGCAATGCACGAATGCCTCCAGAGCCAGAGCCAGCGCCAGAGACAGAGCCCCCAAACTATGGCTCTAGCCAGACAGGGCCAGATCGGAGCAGAGGCGACCAGAGGAGTGTGGAGAGGAGACTCGGGTAAGCCCAGCCATCATTCCGCCCCCGCTGGAGCATTTTGGCTTCAGTTCATTAGTGCAGTCGGTTGAACGGCATTTTACGGACGCGTGCCTTAAATAATTGCATTTTAAATGCAATAAACACAGACAAAAACAAACCCAGTAGCAGAACCAGAGCCAGAACCAAAATATTTCTGGTTGCTGCTTCAATAAGGATTAATTCAGCCCAAGAGCATGTAGCAGAAAATTTGAAAAGCCAATGTTCATGGTTAATTTGCTTTCTGTGGCCGGGATATGGATCCCTGCCACCGACTAATTTGGGTCGTATCCGTATCCGTACAGAGTTTAGCCGCCACATTTGACAAACCATAAAACGCATGCAGCAACAGGACACGTGTCCCACCCAAATGTTGGCAAACGGACGGACAGAGTTGGTCATTGACATCGACAGAATGTCAGTGTCAATCAACATTGTCGCTAGTTGCTATTGCTGGTGCTCGAGTTGATATTGTTGCTGCTGTTGCTGTTGCTGCTGTTGCTGCTGTGGCACTTTCCACTCGATGGCATTTTTATTGCTGCAATATTTATCCGGCTGCCAACAAAAGGGATCAACAGATCAACACAGAGCCCGACACAGCCACGCTGATGCATTCAGCCACAGAACATGACAAATGCAATGCTCCAAATGTCTAACATCCATTGGAATTGGAAATGGAATAAAATACAAATAAATTTTCTTTTTCGTTATTTGTATGTTTTTAGCAAGTTGGTTTTTTTTTCTCTCTTCTTTCGCTTTGCTTTGCTCTGGCCGTGTGGTTGGAAGAATTTGTTGTGGCTTTTAGGAATTTGCAATGTTGGATTTATTAAATTTATTTCGAGTTGAAAAATGATCTTAAACGACTCGCAATGTGTTTTGGTGTGTGCGCCAGGCTCACTATAGCAGAATTTACTTAATGAAAAAGAATGGTATTCAAATCAAATTTAATGTTTAGGTTTCACTAGAGTGTTTTCTCTGTGAATATAGAGAATATTAAATTGAAAGCCATTCAACAATCCCATTGAGATGAGATATCTTATTGAAGCTAGAACACTGAGGTCTCTGATATTCCTATGATTAATATTTAAATATTTTGAGCAATCTCCAAATAATACTCATTCACAGCCCGCTTATTTCTTGTGCAAACTAAAGTTCCTTCGCTATAATTCGTATTTATTGCCTCTTGCGTTCGTGCTTTTGGCACTTCACAAATCCAAGATGCCAGCAACCTGCTTCAGCAATGAAATGCCTTTTGTATTTGCCGCGAAATGCGAATGAATGAAAACAACAGCAAAGCCACCACCGAACGGCAAACGTCATTGCGCACAGAATGGGGAAAATTTAATTAATTCTTAGCGTTTGGGCTAAGCACTTGGGCCAAAACAGGGAAGCGGAAATATTTGTCTCGCCGTGGAAGTTTTTGGCCACTGTGATGGAGGAAAAGGCGCCAAAGAACATTGAAATTATGAGATCACACGGCGACGTACTTGAAGTATGAAATCCATGAAAGGAAAACACAACACGCTGACTCAAAGCGGGGGAAACTTTGCCCTGGCGCTGCCCTGGCAATGTGCAAATTGTGGGGGGAAAAAAAGAAAAAGTGCAGCACGGACCATAAATGCCACTAAGACTGGGTAGGTAGGGCTAGGAGTAGATGGGCAAGATGATGATGTTTGGGGTTAGGGCTATATGGCTATGGCTACGGATAGGTATGGAGGGGTATGGTATGCAGTTGGTAGAGCTTGTACTTACCTTGTGCACCGTCACGCCACTCCTCAACCCCATAATCAGGCAAAGCGTTAGCCGAGTCAAATTTATTTCTATGACGTCTCTTGCCATCTTTATATTTTGTATATATTTTTAATTTTATGCAGCAAGCGTCAGTCAAGGAGGAGATATACACAGACCGAGAGAAACAGACAGAGAGAGATAGAGAGAGAGAGAGAGAGTTCAGGGAGAGTTCGGGATAACACGGTATATGAATAATGACGGTTGTTGTTGGTTGGTTGGTTGGTAGGTTGTTTGGAGTTTGGAGTAGGGCATAGCATGAAAGAAATATTCAAATGGAGGGAAAATTTTCAGAAATAAAGAACAGAGAAACCATATAAAAATGAATTTATATATACACACACACACACACACACACACACACACACAGATGGTAAAGGTAAGGTAACGGTAAGGGTAAGTGTATGCCAAGGTATTTTTATTTAATTTCTGCATTTATTTGCATTTAATAGCACACTGAAGAGGCAACAAAACCCAAAGCGAGGAACAAACCAAAACAAAAAATAACGGAACCAACAAAAGCAGGGAAAAATGGACACAGAAATCGCATGCAACTTTGACTTGATGGAGTGGATAACAAGGATGAGGTGTGGAATGGCCCCTATACGAGTTATGGTGTTGGTGTTGTGTGCGGTTTGAGGGTGGTTTCATCCATTTTTCGGCTGTTTGTGCTGATTACAGTCATTGTGCCAGATGGCCCTCCTATCGCTTTCAAAGTGCTTTAAACAGTTCCTAAGTGAAAACTCGATTCAGATTCAAAGCAGTGGCTCAGGCATGAGAAGAGAAGTCTTTCGAATTAGTCTTGCGAATTATAGAAACGGGGAACTCATGTGAATGATCGAGATGAATGCGCTGGTGTGGAATATTATAGTGCTGACTATGAGGTTGTGCTTTGCAGTGCATAAAATTAAAAACCCATTATATTGTATGCCTTATAATCATATGTAGTTCATGACCAAGCAGAAAATGTATGCTGTGATGCTGATGCTTATGGCTGATATATTCAATCAATTACGGAGTTGAGAAAACGGTTCTGAACTGCAGTATGGAGTATTAACGGGTATACGTGGAGTTCAAAATTACCCGCAATACGATATGTTGAATAAACTTAATTATTAATAGCCAACTCACCATAGCTGCGATTGAGCATAGCCATCTCGGATATAATTGCCGTTGCTGGTGTTGGCATTTCTGTAAATAAACAAAACATAAAAATGCATTAATATGTTGTCAAATTAAAGACAAAGTTCAATTTCAAAGTAGAGTTTTCCATTGCACATTTCTTTTGTTTCTTTTAAGCAATATATTGAACCTTTTTCATATGTAAAATGTGTGCACAAAAGAAAATCAACAAATAAAACTGATATGAAAGGAATATAACTACTCACCATCCAGCTTGATGTTGCCATCGGTCTCGCCCAGGGAGTTTTTCGCCACACAGCGATAGGTGCCAAAATCGTTGGTTCCAACGGCGCGGATTTTTAACTTCATATATTTCGTGTAGCCGCTGACTGTGGATGTGGTCTCGTATTTATCGCCAGCCCGCGATGTGTCTGAAAATATGGAAAAATGCAGAATAATTCAAGCTGTCAGTTCTGTAAATTAAAGTGACAATTTTTCAGCATTCTCTGGAAAAGAACCAAAGCAGAGCGCAGCTGCAAAAATCTGTTTGTGCGCAAAAAATCAATTAATTAATGTCACCTACATGGACTGGGGTGCTGTTGCTGTTGTTGTTGTTGTTGCTGTTGCCAGTCCTGCTTATGTGCAGTGAAGCGAGTCGCGTTCTCAATAGAGACTCCAACTAATTACGCCGCTTCCCCCCCCCTGTAATGGGTAGTGGGTACTGGGTACTGGGTGTATGTGTAATTAAAACTGGCGCAGTTCTTCAACCATTTCCATTGCCATCGCCATCGCCAACTAAAACTTTTCTCATTAATCAGTGAAAATCTAAAAGAAAACTTTTGTTCTCTGCCGGCTGCGGCTTTAATTTCGTTTCGTTTCGTTTCATTCCGTATTGTGTTGCCTACTTTCTGGAACTGAGACTTGGCATGGGACTTGGGACTGGCACTACGACTCCGACTACGACTACGATGTCAAATGGCTGCCAGTAAGTAGCATTAAATATATAAACTTAATTTCACTTTGATTGTTTGGCGCATTGTAAGGCGATATCGCATGTTACTCATACGACATGTTGTCCTTTGTCTGTTCACGTGCTAGTGTGTGTGTGTGTGTGTGTGTGTTTGTGTGTTGTGACAAATGTCTTTAGTTTTCATGCTTTCTTTTTCCTGTTGGCATTTTCTTTTTTTTTTTTTTTGGGAGCCTTAAACAATAAGGGGAAACAATTTTCCATATAGCGTTCCACATGCATGTGACCCGCACTCGCGACTTCTTTTTATAGCCCTAGTCACCTTTTGTGATACATTTTCCACATCCCTATACAATACCAACTTCGTACAACCTTCATACGAGTATATTGTAGTAGGAAGTCCGTCTGACACGCAAATATATAATTTTACTCATAATCATCGGCGGCAGCAATTCTTGCTCCCTTTCGCCCTGCTCTGCTGCCTTGTCTTCCACAAAACTTTATGCTTTTAATACCTAGCCGCATTAAATGAAAGTTTTGGGTTTCTTGAACAGCTTGTAGAATTGCTGTCCCGCCGACTGCCATATAGTCTACCTGTGATGTATGCCATGTGCTGGAGACAGCCGACCCAGAGCGAGGGAAGTTTATCAAGTTAGAAACGGATGAATTCTAACAATTATTCAAGGGTACTGATAGATATTATTTGGGAGCTACTTCACTTGATATTTAATAAATAAATAAAATAAATAATGCAATAAAATCAGTGAATGTTTTACGTTAAAAATTAAGTACAAATATTCTCTAAACTCATGGATCTTCTTGTCTTTCCTCCTAGTTCATGTCTTTGCCAGACATTTCAATCGTTTCTCTATTTCTGTAGCTGCTCTCTCTGTCTCTATTCGCCGAGAGTCGTATAGAACTCTATGCGAAAGCGCTTAAAATTTATTACCCAAACTTTTGGTGTCTGTTAGCCATACATCATGGCCGCCACGGCGCTTTCATATCTCAGTTCGCATTTCGACTCTTTCGCCTCGCCTCGCCTCACCTCACCACGCCTTGCCTTGTCCTGTGCTGTCGCCTTTCCTTTGCCCCGTGCGTGTGTGCATATGAGAAATGTCATATTCTTGGCTCAGTTTTTCCTACCTACATACATATGTATGCATGCATGATATCCAAGGCCTGGTCATAATTTGGCATTTGAGTTGTGGATGTGCCCAAAGCCGAGCCTATCGCCGCTCTCTTATCGAACAAACAAAGTGACATTTAAGCAAAAAGGGGAACCGAATGGCAGTCCATCAAAGGCGCGTCTATATTTAGCGCAGTTTTTATGCCCACTCGTATGGGCTGCTATCGATGAGTCATGAAGGTGGGCTTAGATTGGGGATCAGATTGGATTTTGGGGCCTATTACAGCACAAGTTCCAAGAGGGGAGGGGGTAGTGGGGAGTGCTTGCCGCACAAACCAATCTGTTCGAGGGCTGGGATTAAAAAGTGATTTGTAAATATGGAGCCCAAAAAGGGGTCGGCGACCCGAACCTCCCTCCTATGCACTTCTGACAATTTACACAATCACAGTGATAAAGGGCAGGAGGCAGGAGGCATTGGGCACGAGGAACACACACAATGGTAATTATTTTCCATTTCAATTTGAATGCATTGCATGGAAATTATGAGCTGCGGCATCGAACGCATGATGTTGCATGCTTTTAGGCGCTTTGCGCTCGTACGCGCTTTTCCCTGCCTGTGGCATTTCAGCGCCCCAACCCCCGTCAGCGTGTGTGATTATGCTAAAATAATTTCCGCTACAAAATAATATTTTCTGACATTTTGCATTGCATTCCGCTTTATTCGATTTGCGCTGGTCCTCCCACGGACTCCACTCGACTCGACTCGACTCGATTCGGCTTGTGCGTGCATTCATTTTTGTTTATTTCATTTTCACTTTGTCAATGCTGCGGCGCATCAGCGCAAAAATGTTGTTTATTAGTTTTGATTATTGCAATGTTGATAATATTTAATTTGCATTGCATTCTGTTATTTGCGTTCTGTTTTCTGTGTCTGTTCTGCGTTCTCTGAGCTCTGAGGTTAATTAAAAACATTGTGTGTTTCCGCATGCCTGCAGCTCTACTAATTCAATCAAATCAAAATCATTCGAATTCAGCGCCAATTTCAAAAGTGAATTCCGAATATGCAGCACAGAAATGAACAAAATTTGATGAGGTTTCTCATTTGCTATTTAAATTGTTAATGAAAAATCATAGAAATGTAATTGGAAGCTTATGATTCTGGCTCTTTTTGTACCCGAATTGGGAAAGCAATAATTCAGCAAAAACGTATAATTTTGGCCCCATTAAATAGTTGTTAATTTCCACCATTTTCAGATGATTTTCAGTGCAGCATACCGTGAAATTTTAATCTCTGATTACTCTGATTGCTGACAGTGACAATGACAATGACAGTGACATTGACATTCCCTGACTTGAGTCTGCTTTACGGATTGCTATCAACCTTATGAACTGACCGACCGCCATTGCCATTGCCAGGCAAGAGATGAGATGAAACCTCACACAATAAAAGCGAAACACTCAAAGGATGCACAATCCGCCATTGCACAATGTCTCTGGATGAGTATGAATGTGTGCTTTAAGCCTGTCGTCACACAGTGCGTATGAGCATCGCATTTTACGGCGAACAACCGCTGGCAGCGCAGAGGGAGTGCAAAAATGACTGAAAATTCGTATGTAAAACAATAAAAAAAAGAGAGGATGCCACGTCAACATTCCCAACATCGACTCGCGACTCCTACGCAACTGCAGTAACTGCCGGAGCTCAACTCGGGTCTCTTACATGAGACCTCCTGATGGGACTTTTAATTTTGTTGGTTTTTTTTTGCGCATTTCGCATGACAATTTTCTGCTCGGCAAGCTGGGACCAGACCACTGAGTTTCAGAGGCGTCGGTCTGCATGTTGATTACATTGTAAGCTCACTTACAAACGCTTTTCAGATAATAAACGTATGGCCGACGACCCCCCGCCAGGTCCATGTTCGACTCCTTTATTGCATTTTATTACCGCCCATCAGTCGTGATGCGACACTGGCATATGCCTATCTCCTACACTTACATATGTATGTATATATCGGCGCTTTAACTCACCCGATATGATCATGTCGCCGCGCTCCGTTGTCCAGTAGTTGATCGATGCCGGATAGGCCTCCGTGTGGCACTCGAGTATCACATCTTGGCCCACATAGGCGCCCTCAAGCTGATTGGGAATGGAGAGCATGGGGGGAACTGTCGAAAAAGGGGAGTTGAAGACAGAAACTTAAATTTAAGATATAAATAATTTAAGCCCTAAGTTCTACGAACAATATTTTTCACTTTGAAAGCGGCTCGTAATATCCATTTCAATTACCTTTAGCTCGTAGCCAATATCCTGTCACGTGGCTGCCTTTATCGGTTGTCCTGCACACCCATATTGTTTTCATTTCATCCACACCCACACTTACATCCCCATGCCCATCGCCATGCCCATCCCTGGGTACCAGTACCCATACCCAAACTCATCCAGTAAAAACCATACCCAAACACATATCCATCCAGAAGCACTCGCATCGCCATTAGCAGCATCCAGCGCACACATCACTGACTTTTCATCAACTCTCCAGCCACTCCCATGCCCAGTTTTGCTGATACATTTTGCATTGCATTTTACGTGAGTTTACAAACTGTTTTTGGATTAAAATGCACTCAGTCATTAAAAGCGCGCCTGAGAGCGAGTGATTGTGCCTCGGACACAGGCAACGAACGGAGCCTCTGTGTGGATGTCGCTATGGTTGTGTGGCTGTGTGGGTGTGGGTGCGTAAATAGCTTTTGTTGCTACGTGGTTGTGTGTGGGTGTGTGCGTGTGCGGTAGTAACAACAAAAGCTGCTACGTGAATGCTGAACGCATTTTGGCCACGCACACATCACGAGGGCACAAAATAACACCTGCTGACAAACAGGCAAACAAAACGCCTGCAAACAGCTCGAAATGAGCGCAGTGCATCAGCACAACGACGCTGGGGGATGCTAGGGATGGGAAGGCAGCGTGACTCACGATTTTTAAATTTATTAAATTAGCAATACGATCTATGCAGATTATCTTTGTATTATTAACACACAAAAGAGGGGTCCAATAGCTTAGCTTTGACACCCAAACTACTAGTACCAGCTATAACTCAATATACAAATAAATACGAGTATATTCTGATGAGTAATGATTATCAAATTCTTGCGTGGTTTGATCATTTATAATCCTGTTCTAGGCTTTGTTTGTTACGGGTTTTTGTGTGCTTCGGAAGCGGTTTTTGCGGCGGACTATATTTCGTTTAACATAAAAGAAGACTGTAAGGAAGGCTTGCCCATCTTCAGCAAGCAGTGTCCACGTGAGGCACGCACGATCAAACTCTCACAGGTAAATTAATTTAACGTGACTGCAGCTTTTGGTCGATTTTCGGCCAAGAGCGTGGGTGGCGCCACACCAACCACCTCTGTTTTGTATGCCAATGTTGGGGACGAAGTGCGGTTATTGCCCCAAAAACTGCAGTGGCAACATGCGATGGGGCACGGGGGAACAACACAGAGGCACTGCCAGTCCCAGGCCAGGCCCCAGCCCCAGCCTCAGCCTCAGCCTTGTTTTGTGTATTTTACGCATTAAACTGAGAGCGCTCCTCTGCCCGTCCCAACCACATTGGTGAATGTTTCCTTTTAGCTCATCCCCCTGTCCCTCCTGCACGGACCATAAATATTGCATAAGAGTTGAGCCCAAAATGGATTTTTCGTTATTTTTGGCGTTTCCGGAGCTTCCATGTTGCCCGGCAACAACAGAACCAATGGAAATGCTGATGCATGGAATTGGTTAAAAGTGTTAAATTGGTTACGTTAAGAGCTATCATATTGTATCTACATATACATATATACATATATATATTTATGTACTTTGAGGCGTTAATATTTTATTGTTAAGCCTTGTGGCTGAGGGTAGAAATTAAGGGAGATTCGCAGCAAATAAATATTGGGTGATCGAATCACAGACCAAACTCCCTTCATTCCTGTCTTTTTAAATAAAGTCTATCTATTTTTCTATTCCCTCTGATCCAGCTACAACAGCCAAAAAATAATCCCAATCAGATACTGAAACGTTATGGGAGTCTGGTATAGCCACGAAAATTAAAACAAAGCCACATCTCAGACATGCTGCAGTCAATGCCCACAGAGTCAAGCCTCTTGCGCCGAACAACCAAACGCAAACACTTTGCAGGTAGATCTAGCTGGCATACATCAAATATTTCTTTGGTTTGTTTTCTACTCGTTGTTACTACGACTACGGACATTTACTCACATTGCACTCGCAGATGGACCCGCTTGCTAATCGAGGGCGGCACTCCGTTGGATGCAACGCACAGATACGCGGCCATGTGGAGGCGGCTCACCTTGGTGATGTGCAGCAGCTCGCCATCGACCACGTTCACTGTGTGTGTGTGTGGAGAGAAAGGAAACCGCATTAAGGCATGCAGCAGGGTGCAGAGTGCAGGGTGCAGGATGCAGGATGCGCTTACCGTGCTCCCCGCCAATTAGCATCTCCTCGCCGTCCTCGCGGCGCCACATGACATAGGGTTCGGGGTAGCCGCGTGCCTTGCACATCAGCGAGACATTCTGACCCTCGCGCACTACCATATCGTTGCTGGTCATGCCCTCGACAATCATTGGGGGAACTGCGGGGGAGAATCGGTCACAGATGGAAGGGGTCAATTACCGTCGACCCGGGATATGTAGTTCAATACTCACCCACCACCTGGAGATAGCCCTTCCGCGAACGCATGGGATCCTGCCGGCGAGAAGGGGGGGGATACATTTTTAAGCTTATTTAATATTTAAATTTATCAAGAGCTGCTTACCGTATTAACCTGGCACATGTACCAGCCACGATCCGTCTCCTCCACCTCCTTGATGTGCAGATACCACTACGCAAAGGAGCAGCTTCAGTTGAGATGGAAAATGGGGGCGAAATGGGTGCAAAACTCACCGATCGATGGTCGTTGTAGGTGAGGCTGATGCGGCTGTTCTGCGATATGACATTGTGGTGTATGGACAGGATCGTCTGGGTGTCCACACGCACCCAGGCCACCTTGTAGCCCTTGAGGTTCTCCACGACACAGGCGAGCAGGGCGTCGCGACCGATGGAGACGGTGACATTGGCAATGGGCTCGGCGAATCGCGGAAAGTCCGCGTCTGCAAAACAACAAAAAGATGCTCGTATATTCACTCATGGAGATGGGACCCATGGGAGCCCAGATTCCCGCTCCGCTGAGCTCAGCGCAGCGCAGCGCAGCGCAGCAGTGCAGGATTAATTTAATTTGCTTAAAAGTTTCCTGCCACATTGGAGCCCGCACAAAGCCCGGGGGCGAACAGAAAAAAGTGCACACATATTTTCCAGCTTATACTTTGACATTCATTGGGTTCCGCTTGAGAACCAGAACCCCTTCCCTTCCCTTCCCTTCCGTGCTGCACACTGCACTGCACTGCGGCACATTGCGCATACGCCCCATGGCCCATGGCCCGTTGTCCCTTGTCCCATTTCCCATGTGCGACGACCCCAATGAAGCGGCGACAGAGGAGAAACGGAGTCACCATATTAATTACCTTCCTGTGCCGTCTGCTGGGTATCCAGGCGCGTGTGTTTGCCTGCAATGGAAACGAAAGGAAGGCGCCGAGTTAGAGCATTTAATTAATTTAATTTCACTGCCGGCAGTTGTCCGGCAAAATAATTTAATTGGAGAAACACTTTTGGTTGCCCGTTTCATATGGGTAATAAATAAAAATTAATTAGCCAAGCCAGAAACTTGGACGGGTGGGTACAAGGAATTTGGTCCTGGTCGTTGCCCAGCTGCCCGGCTGCCCGGCTGCACGGCTGCCCGACTGTCCAGCTGCTGCCGGGCTCTGGTTGTCGTCATGTTTTGCTGATATGGCAGAAATTCCCGCTGTGCTTTCAGTTTTGGTTTGGGTTTGGGTTTTTTGTTATTTTTAGTTGCATTTATTCCATTCATTCATTTTATGACAAAAGTTCAAGTTTAATTGTTTCTGGCTGCGTTGGCACTTTTGCTCCTAGCTGCAGCGCAAACTTTTTCCTGTTTTTCCCGGCACAAAAGTTCCATGGCGAAAAGGTGAAACCTGCTGAGCGAGGCGGAGTGACAGCAAAAATACTCCTAGTGCGAATATTTTCAATAAAAAAGTTTCCCGGACACCTCAGTGGCATGGTGGCTCGAATATTTTCACCCTTCGAAATAATTGCATACCTAAAATGCATTAAAATGGTTACCCTCTTGCTACTCGTTCACTTTGTCTCTGGGACAGCAGACAGACAGTCAGTGCCAATATTCGTTATGCGCAGACAAATCCTTGCGCTTCATCATCGTCCTGTGCGGAACGGACACTTTACAAATGAGCGTTCCACAAGCATTTAAGAAATTTGAGTTAGCAGCAAATCGCATTCGCTTCGGAGAGCGTTTCCAACGCTGTCCTGTCCGTAAAATAAAACTGGTAAATTGAAAAACGCTTAAGCATTTTTACAGCTTTTAACACGGTGCCGCATATTGAATTACGGTCCCTCTCTCCAGTGCTGTCTCTCCTCTTGCTTTGCAGCAACTGGACAACTGGTAAAGTTGCTTGCCACAGCTCCCCGCTCCCTGCTGGCTGCTGCCTGCTGGCTGCTGGCTGCTCTCTGTTGGCTGTTGCCTGTTTCTTTCCTTCTTCTGTTGTATGCTTCTGCTGCTGCCAGTTTTCTACTTCACTTCACTACTCCTCGTACCCCGGGTCGTGCTGTCGTGTTCTGCTGTTCTGCTGGAGCAGCTGCTGTTTATGCCTTTTCAGCTACGAAAAAATGCTCAACACGATTTTCGCTGTTGATTTACGTTTTAGCACGTTTTTCGTCTAGTTTAGCTGTACGTTTTCTTCCCTCACCCCTCACCCCTCACCCAAACTCCGCACTTTTCCTATCCCTTTTCGGTCAGCTCTTTGGTCTTTTTCAATTTCAACGGACAGATGCAACCTGTCTGCAGCTTTTTGCCATTTAAATGTTTGTACTTTTTTGATGTTCTGCAATTTAATGAGCAGCTTTTCATCGTCACTGAGATTTGTCTGTGCGTCCCGCCAGTCCCCCTAGCCCTTAGGATAACAGCTGGCAGGCCTGTCAACTTATCCGTTCTCTCACACATCCAGCCCGCTCCCCCATCCCAATAAAAGCTGGTCAATTTAACACTGTTCTTCCATTTTTCTATTGATATTGCAGTCGAGTGTCTTTTTTTCAGACTCGTTTTTTCCTGCCGCTTGTGTCAACATGGCTCACATGACTTTCAGCCCTCGACTCACGACTCTCAACGCTCGACGCTCAACGCTTGACTCTCGGCACCTGGCAATCAGTCAGAGTTCCATTCAGGATGTGCTGTTGGAAAATTCTGTTTGGCCAGCCTATGCAAAGGGCTCTGGCCGGTCCTCACCTACTGCTGCTGCTGCTACCGCTGCTCCTGCTCTTTATGCAAACGCAGCTGACCATTCAATTTATCAGGCTCGACGGCGGCACGTGCACCTCTCACCCCTCCACCATCCACCAACCGCCCACAATCCACCATTGCCAGTCCTAAACCGCCTTTTGGCTTTGCGCTTTGTGCAAACAAAAAGCGCCTGCAAAATGCCGCCACTGAAAAGTGCCAGCCACTTTCAATGAGCTAGCCCCGTGAGTTTCCCCGAGGGCTAAACTTTTCGATACCCAGCATTGAATATATCGCAATATGGATACGCCAAACATTGACAAAGCATTTGCCATGGACTATCCGCAGGTTGATATTTTTGCTATGCTGAATTTAGTATTTAATATTTATTATCCGACATACACTCTAAGCTGCAGCTACGACTCCCAATACCCTACAAACACACACAAAAAAATGGACAAATATAACGACAAAACCAACATCAAAAAACACATCGCAAAGCAAATTTGACAGTCACTTCTTTTTGGCAAATTTATTTTGCCCTGCCGTGCGTGTGAGCCTCTAGGGGTTCTGTTATACTTTTTGGCGCCTCAGACGGGTCTTTAAAGTTTTACGGCTGCAGCTTAACATTTAAAGGCCCGACAATGCAGCGCATTCAAAGTGCAAATGCAAATATCTGGAGCCGTACACTTGCCACGTCTTTGCTCGCATTAAGAACGAGTTGTGAATGCCTGAGAGAGCGAGAGAGAGAGAGTGAGAGAGAAAGGTGGGGGCGTGCGGAAAAGATGACCAGGCCAAGAGCAGCTTTTACCTTGCCGTTTTCCCCCCCCCCCAGCCTAATCTCGGCCAACCAAATGGTTGTCATAAACAAAGCGCCCACACAAAAGAAAACTTTTGGCCAGACGTGCTGCCTACTCGATTTTCGGCATTGTCCGCAAATAAACTGTACGCACTGTGGGGTATACAGGCAAAAACACCATTTAAAAGTGGTTTGTACCGGGGCTATACCATCATTAAGATTTAGATTTGAATTTATATTAATTTATACTATGTTAAATATATTTTAAATATTTTTTAGTTACTTAATATTTGTTTGCAATCAAATAAATACGAGTAGAGTACAAGTGACTCGGCTGACTTTTCTTTTGGTTTTCTATATATGGGTTGCTCAACAAATTTGTTGCGTGTGGTGAAGGGTGAGAGCTTCCCTTGGCAGTAATTGGTTATCAATAGTTTCAAAGGATATTTATAGCACAGCCACTAATTTTAGAGTTTATATTCTAGCTACTGTTTGCTCTTTTCAAGTAACAGCATTGATTGTATTAAATTTTCTTTATCTGCAATTTGAACGGCCTTCAACAGGATTTATATTATGAGCACAATTCGATTTGTTGCTTCCCACTGTGCTATAAGATGATTTGGTCCAGAGGCTTGCGCTGGCCTTTCTTCTGTTTTCGTTTTTATGGGGCCCATTTTTTTTGTTGGCCATTTTTTCCGTTTATTTTTCATGGGACTGGAGACGGACGGGTGGGCTGGGAATACTTCGGCTGCCCCGTTTATTGTCGTTTATTTGTCTTTTTGCCATTTTTATATTTACGCATATAATCGCTTTCAACGCTTCCCGCCGCCTTGGGAGCTCCTTGGGTACGGAGTCCATGACAGCGGTTGGTGGCTGGGATGTCTTGATTTTGGACTGTGCGGTGTGGAGCCCAAGGCGAGTGCCGCTTATAAATATGATGTTATCGCTTTTTATGGTCCATTTTTATTGCCGGCAATCAGTCTTGCGTTTTGTTTGCTGATTGCCAGCCATTATTCAAATGTATTTGTTTAATTCCCGGGGATTGGCAGCCACAAATCATTTTAAATCCGCAATATGTCAACAAATATTTGAACAACGGGCACTTGGCTCGTTTTTTACTGCCCGTTCGACCGACCGACCGCCCGCTTGCCCTCCAGGCGGTTCGGTTCGTTCAGGTCATTATGATGGCTTACGACAGCTGTTAAATGGGTCGGATCTTGCAGCACAGCTTACGGCGCATTACCAGCAACCAGCCATCCAAACAGACACCCCAACTGCCCCCAAACAGTAGCCTAATCAGCTGCAAGCCCATAATCACATTGCGTATACGTAATTAGTTTAGCGTTTGACAAGGCGAGCAAATCATCGTCCGGCGGAGGAGTAGCCCGTCTTCGCCCACTCTCTCTCTCTGTCTCGCTCTCTCTCTCTCTCTATGTGCTGATATATGCACTTTGTTGACAAACGAGCTGATTAAATGCCAGCTCTCGGTCATTATGCAATTAAATGGCAACAGACTCTGTATGCCAGCCAACAGGTCGAGTGTGCGTGTGTGCGTGTGTGTGTTTGTGTGTGTGTGTATGCCAAAGGCATTAAAGACGGCGCTTATTTACATTAAAGCGTTGAAGCCCAACTGAAATTACTCAAACTTTAATCAACAGCTAAGGATAAATTGCCAAGTTTACCTTGCTAATAATTCCTCAAAATCAAGCAAAGAGAAAGTCATCGCCACAAGCGACGGACAGCTGTGGGAGGGGGTGCGGGAGGAACTGTTAATCAAACTTTCATAAGAAAAAAAGAGTCTGCCAACGTATGAAATGCTTTGTGCAAATTGTTTACTTTCTGGCATAGAGCGAACACCAACCAGATTCAGACTCAGATTCAGATTCGGAGCCCGAACAGCAGCAGCAACATGGCACTCTGTGCACAGCCATGCACTCACGTGAGTCCACAAGCCAGAGTGAGTGAGGCATCCAGGGAGAGTGTCTAAGAATGCCAAGCAAATACATGCCACAGAATATATATATACATATGTATGTACTTGCATATATAGTATTCGGGACAGGCAGTGGCAGACTCCATGGAAGTGTGGAGACCGCAAAACGAATTGCGGATGCGGCAAAAATGCTTTTCGCCAACTTGGCAGGCAAATGAACTCCAACTGAACTGCGAACATGGCAGGAAGACATGGAAGACACTCGTGCTCGTACTTGTTCTCGTACTTTTGTTTCGGCCAAAGTCTCTGTGGATGTTACAAGTTCTTTGTTGTTTGGTTGAGTCCCCTTTCCCGACAATTTAATCGGTTGCAAGACAATGCCAGTGCCGGCTTGCCATTTAAATGGTTCAATTTCGCTTCAGGCCCGATTGATTGAGCTGCGATACAGAAAACTCATTACGAAGTT